ATTTTAGTTTCTATATTTTATTCTTGCATAAACTATTCACCTTAATAATTCGAATACCGAATTATCTTTACACTCGTTCTACTAATTACATATTATTAACTTTATAAACAACATCAAACGTTTTTTTGCCGATTTACTTATCTAACTCTCAATTTTACATAATAAACTATTATCCCTAGACGATTACGTAATTTCACCTTTAGATTTATATTTGAATCCACTAACATTACTAATGATTACTATTGAAGTATATTATGAAATTGACTAACCATCATTTATTTGATAATAACTTTATTCTTCACATGACAAGGAACTAACTTTAAAAGAAATGAAATACTTTACCACTGATTGAAATCATGAGTCAATTGAAGCTAGACCAACATGGAAAACGTGGAAGCACTAGACGGCCGTTTCGTCCTAGTGTGTGACTCCTCAGCAGTGCGCATCCACGATCCCGCACCCCGCTAGATTCCAACCCAGGATCTATAAGTCCTGTAGTGTCAGTTATTATGGCAAGCCCATATACCTTATTCTAACTTCCGGACATTCTATTTTATTCATTTTACTTGAGCCATATTTTGACCTTGTCAATTATTCGCTTGTCAGTCTTGACTGTTTTTTTATATGAGCGTATATATGTGTGCACACTTCACGTCCCATAATTCATTGTATGTCTGTAGCTTATTTTGTCTGACTATAAATATGGAATAACACTTGACTAAAATGGAGTTGGCTTCCCAGCCATCTTCCATACGTGTCATTTTTGCTTTGCTGTGCTTCATTCGCTTCATTCGCTTTATTCGCTTCATATTCGAAATATATATGTTCTCAAGTCAATTCTCGTTATTCGACTTATTTAATTCCGTTATGGACTAACGCGATTTAAGTCAACGATGATATACGAGAATCAGCGATAACAATCATTCATACACTCTAAATAGAGTCAGATCAAACGAGCCACTTCAGTCCCGCGCCAGGCGCTTAACCTCGAAACCACTGAGCCAACGTCCAACGGTGTTTATGTCTAACTTCAACCAATCCATGAAGTCGCGCCACCGTACACCATTGTCTTCAGTGAGTTGATATCTCACAACTCATGATTTCAATCAGTGAAATTTCTAAAAAATCTCCACAAAACCCCTTCTGAAAATACTTTATCACCCAACTTATATTTTTGTTTTAATATTTGAGTGGAATAATTTAATATAATTTTAAAAAAAGTTTCAGCATTTTTATGATATCAGTATTGCAAATTGAGAAAAAAAGGGTAGTTTATAAAATAGCAAATATCGCACTTTTTATAGGAATATTAGTTGAAACTGTAGTGAACAGAACACCAGTGGGCACAATCGGATGTATTTGACACAAACTTACAGGATTTGTTAATAAAATCTAATAATCAAATAGTAAATACATAATTTGCAAAATGTCCATCAATTGTCTCATAATGACTCATACTTCATTGTTCTTGCATTTTCATACAAATTGCATTCTGTTTCGACTTTTTCTGTTCTATCCTCTTGTCTCTCTGCTGTCAGACATTCTGTTCCTGACTAACCTCATCTACTACTTATGTCAGTATAAGTAGCACACACCACAAAACTACTGATTTATCTATAAGGAACTTATTTTGTAAAAGAAAGCACATCAATCAATTAGAACAAGAAATGAATTTAATCTTAAAATAGTAAAACAGTTAAATATTTAAATGGTCTATTTTTTGTTTTTTTTAGATTCTCTTCCAATGTTACGAAACCGATATTAAAAAATAATATAGATCACTGTAGGAATGTTTGGTACATACTAGTAAAGATCAATTAGTGAAAATGTCATATAAAGGTGAGGTATTTCTAATCTGGTTTACAAAACAAAGTAAAACAAAAAAGAATGAAAAGAACTCTATTTCATTTGAAGCTAAGGCATAGTTTTATTGATTGTAGTAATGTTTTCATGTATATCATTTTGGCGAGACTCTAATTTATGGACGAGCCAATTAGAGGCGTTTTAGAGATTTCATGGTTACGGCGCCAACTTCAGTGTTTAATGCTAACTTACTATCGGTTTACAGGGAATTTTGTACAAAACGTGATAATTGAGTGTCTATAACAAATAAAAAGTTGAGACTATAATTTGTGGACGAATCAATCAGGTGTAAGATAATAGATCTCGGATTTTAACGCGAAAGTCTTTCATCCATTTAGCTAGATAAATTTCTGGCATTATAGGTGATGTCAGTTCGTAATGAAAACCCCATATATAATCACTAAATAAGGCAAATTACGACAATTATTGCGAACTGGATAATAAAAGCCTCAGTAACACTGACTGCAGCCAGGTACGACAATATATACGGATAATTGGAGTGCTTACAGACTCCTACCTAGGCTTGTTTATGTGCATCGTGTCGTTATCCACAGGTGGCATTTTGTGTATTCAACAACCGGAATGCACACAAACAATAGTGAACCTATGTAGTCGAGACTTAAAGAGTTTTTAAGACTTTATCGTGGCTCCAGAGGTCGACTATTCTGTAGCCATATGGATGATTTCATCTACTGCATGAACTACGATTTTAGAACCTCTTTCTAATCTTGACAAGTATTTGAATTATGTATAAGACGTGTATTCACTTTATTTCTTTGGTTTTGTATAGTATATTTTTACTCTATTCTGACTGTTTGCTGATTGGCTAATAGTTCTCAAAGTAACTTAAGATTTGTTCAAAGGTGGTTCATAAATTAGAGTCTCGTCATTTTATTTATCAACTTGTAGTTTGACATTATAGATGAAACTTATATTTGAAATAATCTCCGTGATTGAAATTTTAATAATTCCAACGTTTTGTCCAGGTAACTGGTCTGAACGTCTTCAGGGTATTACCCTGAATTTCAATCGCTGAGATTATTTCAAGTATAATATTAACATATAATGACTTCTTTATATTCGGCGCCCAATTTCTGTCAAACTATTCATTCTAATCTTGATGAATATTCGTATAAATTCTAGCTAAACAGTTTAAAAATATTTTTTCTTTTCTTACAGAATTAGCAATGAATTGAATTCATTATATACTTTTCACATATGTCCAACAGGATAAATCAATGAATGTATGAATTAATGAATAGTATGAAGATAAAGTAAAATGATTAAACTTAGTGAAAATTAAAGTGTAGTAAATTTCTAAGTCGTTCAAAGTAGAATGAAACTGATATTGATGCATAATTTTTTTTATTAAAAATCTTCATTTTTTGAAGATGTTGTCTTCAGTGAGTTGAACGATTCAATCGTAAATGTATTCATTGTGTTTAGCGAATTGAGCGGTTAAACATCCTTTAAGAAATGTGTCAATAAATAAAATATTGTGATAGAAGAAGCGAAATGTTATGTTATATGCATTCGTGGAATTGAACAAAAGAGTTAAAATATAAACACATTAGTTAATATTTTATTAGGAATTTTAAAGTCTATTAAAACATTTTCCAGGGTGGTCTAGCTTAAATCGACTCATAAATCTAAACATTAAATTACTAAAATTTCCACAAACTCTCACTCTGATCATAATTATCATGCGCTCACTAGTGACTGGCTTCAACATGTGTTTCCCGGAGTTGTAGTGAGTAAACGTGTCCAATAGAATCAAACCATGTCTGTTGTGAGGCAGTTACACACTGAAGACAATAGTGGACAGTGGTGCAATCTTGTGGATTGGTTGAAGTTCGAAATTAACATCGTTATATGTCAATTAATGGTCTAGAGGTTAAGCACTTGCGAGCGAGGTCGAAGGTCCCGAGTTCGAGTCCCATGTGCCGAATCGTGGATGCACACTGCTACAGAGTGGTGGTGGTCTAGCATTAATCGATTAATGAATCCAACCATTAAATTACAATAATTTCCACAAACAATTCCACAGACACTTAACTATTTAATTAATGTGTGGTATGTACTACTTATATTGACAAAAGTAGTAGATGAGGTTAGTCAGGAACAGAATGTCTGGCAGTAGAGAGACAAGAGGATCGAACAGAAAAAGTCGAAACAGAATGCAATTTGTATGAAAATTAAAGAACAATGAAGTATGAGTCATTATGAGACAATTGATGGATATTTTGCAAATTACGTATTTACTATTTGATTATTAGATTTTATTAACAAATCCTGTAATTTTGTGTCTAATACATTCGATTGTCTCCACTGGTTTTCGTGTTCTCTACAAATGGACCTAAAATAATGGATAAATCTACTTTGTTTAATACAAGCCAAATTCCTCTGAATTTTACACAGTATCATTACATAATTAAATAAATAATTCTACAGAAAAAAGAACTAAAATACTTAGAGCATAAATTATACACTCGAATGTTGTCAAACGAGTACCAAATCAACTAATTCCTCAATGAATAGATATAATAGTTGATTTCGGTGCTCTTTTGTAGTTTAAAGTAATCAAGGTCATATGATCGATTAACTTCTCATTGATTGGTTGAAAAGATTTAATATTATATATACACAAAAAGACTATTGGTTCAATTTGTAAATGTGTATGTGAACATTTATTTGTTTTTAGCTTTCTCGTTCACTGATTGGCTTTTATAAATTAAAGGGCAAGTTCATCAATTTAAAAATTTGAATATAAATAAAAAATTATATTTTTAAATATGGTTTTTAACAGTTTGTGGATATAATTTGTTATAATTCAGGGTTCACCATTACTACTGTTACAACAACAACAACAACAACAACAACTGTTATCTGATAACCGTTTATTATACCTACTACACTGCTACATAATTAAATAACTTTTAAAAGTGTCTCTATTATCTGGAAATTTACTCCAATCGTATAACAATCCAATTAACAACCAGATGATCACAAGCAATCAAAAGCGTTAGAATATCCATTCAGTAGTAAACTCATATACAGTACAGAATAAATATTACCTAAAGCTTTCATTATTATTTCGGTGTGAATTACTAAATAAACTAACTATTGATAATAACTATATGGAAGATCCAAGTAAATCATTCAAATCAGAAGATAATTTGGGCAATCTCGCTTCATGGAGTACAATAACACAAACAATATCACAAACAATAACAAAACGTGATCGATGGAAAGGAAAAATTGATTTTCTCATAGCATGTATGGGATTTTCTATTGGTTTGGGTAATGTGTGGAGATTTCCCTATTTGTGCTATAAAAATGGTGGAGGTAAATTATTAAAATATTTTATAATTATTGTGATAATATGGTTAAGTTTAACACTCATTCAGCTTTTCGGAAATAAAACCACAATAACGGTTGCTAATTGGAATGCTATTAAATTCATAGGTTTTAATTTAAAGGTATAATAACACTGTAAACTAAAAAATGCAGTATATTTTTAAATATTTGCAAAATCTGTTATATACAAGTAAATTAAAAGACTGAATGGTTAAGCCCATATGACACTGAAATATATTTACATATTTTACAAACGTTTGGATAGTTTTAATTAAATCATTTTGAATATTCCAAAAGATCTTTACCATGTGATGTTTTCTGAATATGAATGTTGTTATTATTCTGCTATTTTTAATAAACACTTCATAATTGAATTAAATAGTTCATTAAAAGTTAGAAAAATAACTGATTATTTATTTTAAAAACAATTCATATAGGGTCCCATAACTTAATTTCTTTGAATGTTATTCAATCACTACATCTCAGAAATATTATGTACCATGTTATGATATGCTTCAGGAACTGTGAGTTTGTTGAATATAGTAGTAAAATAATACCATAATTATTATGGTAATAATAAGAGATTTATCGCATATAGAGTTTTATAAAGTCTGTTTGTACGATAATTTATCAGTTACGAACAGATAAATCTGTATTCTCTAACTTTAAATCTTGATTAAAACCCATCTATCGAATGCGTAACGAGTATTATCTGCCTGTAAAAATACATCCCTGAGAATTAGAAAAAATGTGTAGGCTTTTTTCAGTACTTGACCATGACTTAATTGAACGTATTTCTCATTTTTGGTGTACCCTTTCGGACTAGTAGCGTTAAAATTAATTCTGAAGTGCTGAGTACAGTAGAGGTCGGTGCTAAATAAATTAGAATATGAAATCATCTCATAAAGTAACTGAACATTGAAAAATATCCTCTTGTAAGATACCGAGACCCTCGTTAAGGTGCATTCAATAAACGTAAACTATAGTTGAGATTACATAATGTGGCTACAAACTAGATAGTGAATTTAAATTCATTCATTATCTTATTACTTTAATTCGTTCTTCACAAAATATATTCTTTTTGTTTTGATTTTTACTACTGTTGATATTATATTCTCTACATTTTAAATGGTCATATAGTTGAGTTCCTTTATCTGTGTACTGATGTAATGTTTAGTGATTTCAACAGACGCCTATTTGTTTTAGATCCTACATTATTTAAGATGAACTAAAATGATCACTGTCTACAAGTACCATAGTAGTAAAATATACTAAATAATTATGTATTGAATTCGACAGATATTTCCAAATTTACAATGTACTCATTGTATTATGAACATTTTTGTTCACAAATATTTTTTAAAATAATAAATTTAATTAGTCAACGTGTGGTGTGGCTTACTTATATCCACATAAGTAGTATATAACGGTGGTTAGACATAGAATGTATTTCAGTAGAAGATCGATAAGGAATAAACGGAACAGAACGCAATTAGTATGAAAATGCATGGAGAATGAAATTCGAGACAATCGACTGATAATTGTAAAATAAAAAGTCAAGTTTAGAACGATGGATTGATATTTTGCAAATTAACTATTTACTATATGGTTCTCAGATTTTAGTGAGATGCTCTGTTATTTCGTGTCAAATAAATTCAATCATCCCCACTCGTGTCCTTATTAATTGTAACTAATTAGAGATTTTCATTGTAATTTTAAAATGTACAAATGAACTGAAGAAAATCTGTATTAATATTAATCTGCATTTGTATCTTATAACTAGACAGCTTTTGTAACTCAATAGATTCAAGCATTTCAAACTAAAACAAGAAACAAAAACTTGAAAAGAAATACATTTTGAAATAGGTAAAACATATTTATTAGGCATGAATAATGCAAAGAAAGTTTGAATTATTAAGTATATAAATGTAATAAGAGCTCTTAAAGGCTTTAATGTTACAAACATTCTTGTTCATATCACGTTTATGGACTTTTAGACTAGACTAAATGCTTTAGAAACTTAGTGAATCAATCATTCCTTCAATTGGAACATGGTGGATTTTTTATTTATAAAAAATTATATCGTCTTATTCGTGATTTAAGTTAGAAAGTTTACTTGATTTAACATGTGACTTATTAAACTTTAATATAATAAAGACTAAACATTTATCCTCTGTATACAATTGTATTAATAACAGGGAATGCATGGTAGATATAATTTCATCCTGAAGTATCGTACAACATTTTTGAAACATGTTAAGTAAACATTTGTAGACTTTATACTCAACGACCAAAATACTATGAAATTATTCGATCAAATTAAGACGAAAGTTCCTTCATATCCATTTTTCCTCTTTCCAAATTTATTTTACTGGATTATACTCCTGGAATAACCTCTTCAAACCCTAATCTTTCCGATTACTGCTTATACTTTGACTATCTCTGTCACTACGGAATTTGAATCGACAATTGTATCTCTGTGCTAATGTGGTATAGCAACTCGAACTGATATACATACGTACAAAGTTCTACGTTGTTACTGACTGGCTGAAGACGAAAGTTCAGAATGTGTTTTGTGGAGATTTTTAGAAATTTTCAGAGATTGAACTCATGAGTCCCATACTAGAACGAAACGGCCGTCCAGTGCTTCCAGGTTTTCAATGGTGGTCTAGCTTCAACTGACTCATGAGTTCAATCTGTGAAAATTTCTTAATTGTTGGAAAAAAATAATGTCGTTATGTTTTCTGAAAGCAGAAATTCAAGAAAACACCTCTTATCATGCTGCAGCTTAGATTGTTATAGTGATAATCATTGAACAGAATAAGAAGTTTAACATTTACACTTATTACTGACATCAAACAACTTGTTCACCATAATCATTATTACATACATTGTTATATAAGTAATAATTGATAGAAGCATATCATCAGTAACTGGACATTTAATCTTTGGTTAAGATTATTCAATAATGTATTAGCATTTACCTAGATGGATGATAAAGGGATTCAGGTTGATAAATTTCATAAAATCCTGATGAAAATATTAAAAAAATGAATTATCATGAGAATACTATGGGTCTATGTGAACAAGAGAATATATATGATGATTAATGAGTTGTCTGAATTTCCAAAGATAAATTTAGATAAGGTTTGAAATTTATGAAAAACATTTTGAGTCAGGGTGTATATATTCTGTTTTTAACATCCTTTTAAGTTGATAAAGGAGACTTCAATATATCTGTTGATCTGAGCTAATCTATCAATGTCTTTATCATAGGATGCTCTATTTATGATGCGGTAATTTTAAAGCTTCTTTAAAGATTTCTATGCTTTAGACATTCCTACATTCGTGAAGGAGGGTTATAATCTTACATAATTAATACATGATCAAGTAATATTTATTATGTAAGAAAATCTTTTAAAAAGGTGATTTCGAGATGATAACAAGACAGTCCCAAATTCGTCAGAGTTGAAAGAAAATCTCATTCATAAGTCTTTTTTTCTGAGAAACTGGTTAGTCCATATTCAATTGCAAATCTCACAAAATAATGTATAATTCAAGTAATTTACTTAGAACTTGAAAACGACTATGATATTATGGTGTTATCGTTATACGAATTCCCAGATTTATGCGATAAATTTCATAACAATACAACTGCCCACATCTCTACTGCCAATAAGTTGATGATGTTTCAGAGAAATAAGATCTTATGATAATATATACAAACTAAAAATACTTCATCGATGAATGAAGTGAAGACATGATTTTCTTTATCAAATAAAACACGTTCACCCTTGTTTTGTTCAAATAAAACTCTTTAAAAACTAACAAAGGATGCATATTAAAGAACTTTTTGAATTTTATTTAGGAGCCTTTCTTCTACCTTACTTCGTCAGTGTGATCGTTGCGGGTGTACCATTATTTCTTCTTGAAGTTGCTTTGGGTCAGTTTATGTCTAAAGGAGCTATTGCAGCCTGGGATATTTGTCCACTTTTTAGAGGTATGTGTGTTTAAAATTTAAGAAGCCGGATATTGATTTGCCATTAAAGAAATATCTTCAATTTATATTAACTACCCAACTAAATTTCCCTGTTTTTATTTTTACTTCACAGGTATTGGATGTGCTAGCACTATGATAAACTTTTTGGTGAACAGTTATTACACAGTGATTCTGGGTTGGGCATTTCATTTTATTTTCGCTTCATTCAGTAAAGAACTTCCGTGGGCTAAATGTGGACATTCCTGGAATACTAACTCATGTATTGATGCTGTAGTGAGAACAAATTTAAGCAATTCAACATCACTTCTCCGTCAACATATATTTGGAGCTGATCCTGCTTCAGAGTACTGGGAGTGAGTTCGTATACTCCGAAACTCTGTTCATGGGGCTCAGTTAGTCGTTTTGTATTCTACACGACTAAATTACGTGTTTACTCATATGGTGCAGCTAATGATCTAATCAAATGCTGCTTGGTAAGCACTCATCAGGAACTTGTAATAAACGGTTCTCAGTGCTACCATGCTAGCGATCTTATTAGCTTAACGTATTATTTTTATTAGTTACTTCATTCTTATAAACATTAATTCTTATTTTAAAGATTTAGCTAAACATTCTCTACTACTAATCAACTTACTTATAGATTTCACTTGTGAAAGTATACGTTAATATTAAGCAGGTTATATGACATTGAAAAAAATTGTCTAGATTGAATAAAATAAAGATCTCATCAAAATTTCATCAAAAATGTCTGTACAAATATCTTCCGTTAAATAGTGCTTTACACCAAACTTTTAAATACTGACTACGCTACCCTTCTTACATATTTCAGTAGATCGATTCTACCGCATACGGCAAAAACGCTTCAGACGATTTAAAGAAAGTATAAGCAATTAGTATTCTGCTGTAATTCATTAAAATGTGTTTAGTTCAACAGAGATACGATAACTAACAGGTTTAAATTCGAAATGTAAAAATTTCGAAGTTGATAGTCAGTTTTTAGCGCAATGAAGTTGTTTTTATGTAAATGGATCAAGTAAACTTTAAGTTATGAAAACTCCGAGAAATAAAATTTAAGCACTATTTGAACTGTAGTACATTATAAAACTAATTTATTGTTATAAATTAGTGAATTAACTTAGAAATAGGTGTTGGTAGCTATCAAAACCTATTATTATAAAGCTTTTACACTTAAAAAGATGGTTACTTTATTCAACTTTCAGTGTGAGCATCAACACTGAGGCGTAGATACATCTAAGTGTGAAGTCTCAAATAGCAAGAATCGTTAATTGAAATTGTACTTCTATCCATTTACATGATATAAACCTATAAACGTAGAAAATATTCATTTAACCACCTGTAAACTTTACTAACAGAAATTCATAAACTATGTTCTTGTATATTAACATTTGATTTCTTTGAAATTAATCTTTGAAAAAATAGAGTTCTTTATCATTTTCTCTGAAACAATTAAACTTACATATACAGATAAGAAATCATTCATACGTCACTGATTGCTTCCATAAAACACCGTGAATTGGTTTTGCTCACCAAATTTCCGTTCCCTATTATTTATGAATCCGATTGATATTCAAAGCTCATTATGAGATTGTAATGATTTCTAATATTAACGAATACCTTCTATTTAGTGTATAGAATTAGAAACTAAAATATATCATAATTAGTTTACTGAGACTATTTTTTGTTTATCCAATGTTTCAACTTCAGTACGAAATTCATTGAATGTATTGTGATATACGAAAACTATACTCATTATATTGGTCCAAAACAAAAAACAAAAACAAACTTGAACTCAAAATGTAAATAAATTAACAGTAATGTATGATACTAGATAGAGTTGATTGTATGAACGCGTTCCCAATAAATTATTAACAATGAATCATAAATTACTTAAAGTGAATAGAATGAAAAGTTGCCAATATTGTTACGTCATTGTAATTGTGTGTAAATAACAATCGTATATAAACAGTTTATTATCTATATGTATGAAATGAAGCTTAGAAATAGTCTTGTTTATGATACCAATATCTGATGATACATTTTCTATTGCATTTCATGGCTATATGCTATATAATTCTAGGACTATATCTTTCAAATGACTTATTTAATAGCTTTAATGAAAACAAAATGTCGGGTTAAAAAACTTGGAGAATGTTAGGTAATAAATAATTCAAAGTCTTGAACCTATGCTCCCTAACCAAAATATTCCTCCTGTATTAACGTAATTGGTACTCCTCGTGAAGTTTAAACTTTGTTCACTCCATTTCAGAGACGTTAGTGTTAGGCTATTGGAGCTGTAAATAACTCCTTGCATGATTACAATATATCCATTTAGTGATCACTGAATAGTGGTTATTGTCATATTTCTGTAGTCCTTAGTGTTGATGGAAATTCACTGAAATATGGCTACTAATCTAAGTAACTGAACATGACGTAGACTAAATTTTGATGTTAACTGGTTGAAATAATGATGAACTATCTACTTTCAAGTTGAAGTCAACCGTGATCTGGAATAGAAATAAACGACTGGGACGGTTAAATCGTATGTGATTATTTTATTAGAGCTAAAGTTGATTGCCTGTTTAAGTGTCCTATCCGACTTCAAGTAATTCTTTGATTTAAATTCAGCAAGAACGACATTGTTCTCAGGATGCGATGAATTCATTGCATCTTGTTGCTTGCTCTTCAGCTATGCATTAGTTTGTTTATAGATGAACGACAAACAACGTATTACAATGAATTCATCGTATCCTGCAAATATTGTTATTCTTGCTTTATTTAAATTTGTGAAGGGAACCCGTTACATGAATTCCTTAATTGATATTAATTCGTGAAAAGTCTATGTTATTGTGTCCTAATATTTATTTTTTGAAAATAACCTATGGTTGTTTGTAGAGGCTTAACACTTAAACAAATTGTACGTTTGCATATGAACTTATTTTTCATATGACACAAAGAAACAATGAAAATAGGAATTAAGATCTTGAACCGATCATTGTCAGACCACAATTAAAAATTTGAGAACACTAAACGGCCGTTTCGTCCTGGTGATGGACTCCACATTGGTGCACATCCACGACCCCATATGTGGGATTAAAACCTAGGGCCTTCCGTCACGCACCCTAGCGCTTAACCTTTAGTATAATAAGCCGGCATCCAGTATTGTTAATGTCTAAGTCCAACTGATTCACCGTGATACGCGACTTAGTCGTGTAGAGGTTAAGTGTTTGCACTCAAGGCCAAAGGTCCTTGGTTTCGATCCTGAGTGCAGGGTCGTGGATGTGTATTGCTGAGGAGTCCCATACTAGGACGAAACAGACGTCCAGTGCCTACAGGTTTTATGTGGTGGCCTAACATTGGTTGATTCGTGATATCAAATAAAGCTCAATAACCTCTACAACTCTATACTGAAAATGGAAATATACATTGATAATGTTTATTTTAGCTAAAATTAATTTAATCTAACTGAAGTAAACAACTTCTATTAGACATAAATAATCCAAAAAGAGATAAATATTATTCTTTTTATTCTAAAGTTATTTTGCCGATAAACTCTATTGTTTATTTTAGATTTAATAAATAACTTTCAAATGTACTTAAATATGTACTAAATACATAATAACAATTAGGTTATTTCAACAGTTGAGGTCATGAGTCAGTTAAATCTAGATCAGCATGGAAAACCTGGAAGCACTGGATGGTCGTTTCATTCTATTGTGGTGCGTATCCACGATCCCACCTCGCGGGATTCAAACACAAGACATATCAGTCTCGCGCCAGGTGCTTAACCAACTAAACCATTGAGTCGGCATCCGTCGGTGTTAATGTTTAACTTCAATTAATCCACGAAATTGACAGACATATCCACTATCGTCATCAGTTAGTTATTACCTCACAACTGACCCAGTTGAACTCCACTGATCACTGCTTCTTATTAGAACTCCATGAAATACCTCTTGAAGCCAGTCACTAGTGAGCATATGTTGTGGATGCGCACTGCTGAGGAGTCATACAATAGGACGAAACGGCCATCCAGTGCTTCCAGCTTTTCTATGGCGGTCTAGCATCAATTGACTCATGATCTTAACTATTGAAATTACTACACTCTCCACAAAATCCCCTTCTGATACTAATTAAGTTATTTAATAATTGTTATTTATATCTTTTCATTAATCATAGAAATCGTGTCCTACGAATATCAAATGGTATTGATAATTTAGGAACAATTCAATGGGATTTAGCATTATGCCTTTTATTAGCTTGGACAATAATATTTTTAGCAATATGTAGAGGAATAAAAACATCGGGAAAGGTAAGTTTATAAATTTATTGAAATAATATTATATAGAAATGAAATATATAGTGAATGTTCTAATATAAACAATTGAGATCATTAGAATAGATTATTACTGATAACAAATTAATCAATGATACATATGAATAATTCTTTTCTTTATTATTAACTTATTACTTGAATGAATAGTAGTATATCAAACATTTAGTTAATAATTAAAAAGAATTATTATTTCAGTAAAAAAAAATTACTATACCTTAACAATATTTTCAATTAATGTAAGATTATAATGAAAGAATAATTAAATAATCTTTCCTAGTCGGTTTAATCACAGAATAAATGAATTATTAAAACCCATAAAGGTTACGTTTTTACCCTAGATGAATATATTAGTTATAAAGATAGATATATAATATGAAGTGAAGTGATTTTCTATGAACTAAATGTTCTGTTTGCCAATATTTTTACAAATTAGACATTATAGAATGTTATAGTATGATTGAAACTATAATATATGGAGACAATCAGATAGAATTTAATATTTTACGATTTCTGGTTTCTAATTGTGTATTTTTTCTTTCAACAACGTTGTTTGTATCATCTTGGATAGTGTATGAACATTTTTCATTGGTTTAAATTGTTCTCATATATATTATATAAATGAGTAAAATTAATTTCGTAGTATGATTTACACTAAAGTCATTACCAAGCCAGATAATTGCAATTAAGTAGTATAAAAGAGAGAGACTCTTATTCGCATAGAACTTTAACAGATTGATTCAAATTAATAGTCATTTTGAAAAAAAAAAGAGATAAATCTAACAAGTTAATAAAAGTAGAAGTCTGATAATTTTGGATACAAATTATAAAGAGTTGATCTTATTAAAAGTATAATTTGGAATCTCATAAATATCTGTTTTATCTACTTTTGGATATGATGTTAATAGGTTTAATGAATAATGAATTCTTGATTGATATAATTTGTCAATGAATTGTGCTTATACACATTCTATATGAACTACAAAGTTGATTGATACATCCTAGGATTTAGTATATCATTAAATAAAATTGTGTTAAAACCGTTTAGAATCGTTGAGTCTAAGCTTAAAATATAAATAATGATAAAAGAAATCAAAGGTAATTTCACTGCTTTTACACAAAAATAATTCCTCATTCATGTTATAGTGTACTAATTAGGATGGTGTTCAATTATTCGTTTGAAATTATCTATCAGTGTTTTAGTCATAATCGTGCCGATTAAGTTTTCTTTTTTACATGATTTACACAACAGCATGAATAAATGTAATCTTTGTAGATGAACCTTGGCTTATATTCAGTTTAGTTATATAAGCAAAAGTTCAATAGTAAAGGGTGGCTAATTGCTAAAATTTATATTCATTATACTACTTAAATGTGTTCACAGTTATTTTCTGAGTTTTCATTCTTGGTTACGCTTTAGTCGTGCTAAAGGTTGTTCACTTTTTCTAGAATAACAGTAATGTGAGTCATTATGCTAAGCTTCAATGACAATAACTCATTGTATTATTGATAGATGGATATAGTTTAAGAATCGAAAATCAATAAACGCGTACTGTTAATATTACAACAACGGAAAAAATGCATTATTTCAATTACATAAAGAGTTATTTGTGTACAAAACTTCTAAGCATATAAATTTGTCGACAGTAAACTAATAGTCAGTATAGAGTTATCCGACGATTAGAAACTGAAGGTTTAAAACTAGCAGATCAAATTGATTTGAACGTCGTAGATGGAAAAAACACATCAGATATAACGCTATGCATATTGATCAAGATTGATAAATTAATGTAGCATAATTAATAATGATCAAAATAATTGATTACATAATCAAAATAACAGTGATAAGTAACTGCATAGATACATTAGGTAATTACGACAAAACCAAATTAGTAGGTGGGTATCAATGTAGATAAAGTGAAAAGTATAAGATTACGCAACAGATATAACTCCGTAATTTGAATTGTTTACAAAACAACAACGAAAGATACTAAACATTACTTCTGTAGACATAAGTAATATTGAAAACAACTGCTGGTTGTCATTTGTACAGTGCAATGTAAAAGTAATTTCCCTTGTTTGTACTTGGTTATTGCATGTTTAAAAATCATATTTTTTACTAGATGTAATTTTACCCATTGTTAATAACCAAAGATTGTTACGTAATGTTAAAGTTAATTTAATTTATAATTTATTTCCGGAAAGATTGATTATATGATGATTATCTTCCTGTTCACTTCGCTTTCATTTTAGATTATGTATATAACTGCAACTACACCATATATATTCATGATTATATTACTTATAAGAACAGCTCAGTTAGAAGGAGCATTAAATGGTATAACGTATTATTTAAAACCAGACTGGGATAAATTAACAGATATGACAGTAAGTAATATTTTTTACATTGAGGATGTACATATGTAAAACTTAATGTTGTAAATTTCCTGTGTTTTTCTTTCATTTCGGTTAACAGACAGAAGGAAATAATGAGTTTTCAAAAGAATGACTTTAATTTTGCTACACAGGAATCGTTAACAGCTGACATATTCCTTATTTCAAAAACTTACCAAAATGCTTACAATTTAGGGAGAAAAAGGAGAAGTCTTTCTGAGTAAAAATGGATAATAGCTAACAGTGAAATTCAGGAAGCGCGTTTCGTCCTATTCGGGACTCGTCAGCTGAAAGTACATATGCCAATAAAAACTGATCAATCATAGCCGTAAACATCAATGAAAAGATTCAATTAAACAATACAAAAATGAATTAAAATCTATTCTGATTTATAACCGGTGCAAATTTTCGATAGTTACAATAAAGTTATAGTTCTTAGTGGCAAATCCAAAATAAACCAAATTCAAAATTTATAAATTATATTCTTTCACTTTCTAATAAAAAGAAATGTCAATTCATTTTTTAAGATATCACATTTTGTTTTGTTATACTTACTGACTCGTTATGGATTACATAATAACATACTCTTATATGCTCTGAGTTATCCAGCACAAAACTTTTATTAAAACGATTTGTAGAATATTCAAGTCTTTTTGATTTTAATTACTCAAAATTATATGTTTTACGAACCAATATGTAGATATTAAAATTTCCATTGTATAAATTCATGTAAGTATATTTTTCTCTTTTGGAATATAACATGTAACCAGCTATTTAGTTTATGAAAACTAAAGAAGTTAAACGTATTACTGAAGACCTAAAAAAGACATTCCATCATTCGTTTCAAATTTATTTGGATCCATTTAAAAAAAGTAATGGACAATAGTTTCAGTACAATTACTTAAACATATTTAGTTTAAACTTTGTGTTGACAAGATTTTTCTTTACCAAATTAAAAAAAATTTTCTTTCTTATTATTTCAATTAAATTGTAATTATATCTGAAAGAAATTAAAACATTTTTAATAGTTGAACTCATGAGTCAATTAAAGTTAAACCATCATGAAAAACATGAAATTACTAGACGACTGTTTCATCTTAGTATGAGACTCCTCAGAAGTGAGCATTCACGATCCTGCCCAGAACCTATCGATCTTGCACGCGAATGCAATTTTATGGATTGATTGAAATTAGACAATAACATGATTGAATGTTACCTTAGTGATCTAGAGATTAATCTTTCACTAAACGGTCATCTAATACTTCTAGACTTTTCATTATGATCTAGTTTTAATCGACTCATGAATTCAATTACTACAATTTCTACTAAACCTTCTTTATGATCAAACATTTTTATTCAAAATCATAAAATTATACAATTAATATACTGACATAGTTATTCATATCAGAGTAAATGAAAAAAACAAGTTTTAATAAATATAATCATTAATTAGATATTTAACTGTAATAATAAATAATTTAACAATTCATTAATCAATTATGATATTGAACTTTTATAGTAACTCACGTGCAATTGAGTTTGTTCTCATCTAATTCGGTTAAGCGCTTCTGTTAACTTATTTAGCGGACAAAGTCATCCGCACTATAACAATTTATTGTACCTTTATTATTGTTGTGCTTGTTTGAAATTTGTATGCTTGAACATTGCTTACCGCCTACGTATATATTCATTCTCCTAGATTTATTATTAACTGCTTAATTGGTTCGATGATCCATTCATTTCCCTATATATATATATATATATATATATATATATATATATACATGTACATTTACACTCTACACACACTCTATACACTCTCGGTTCGCTGACTCACTCATTAGCCTCACTACTTTGTGGTCTGAGTTATCTGCTAATAAAACTGTGGTCGCTGTTTCTCTTTGCCTTCCGATTTCAAACACCGTTAAGGATTATATGGTAACGGTTACGTGGGTGATTGGTTAACGAAGCATAGCCACTACACTAATAGTTATTGATTAATTAATTAAATTCAGCTTCTATAGCATTACAATTATAGAACAGATGATCTAAATTTGATCATATAATTATTTATTTATTTCTATTAAGATAATATAAATAGCTTACAATGTGAATAATTAAGAAACTATATAGAATAAACTACTTAAGATAATTTAGATTATTATGTAATTAAATAGAATAAATTAACTGTTTATAATATCAATCTATTAATTATTAACTTAAGTTTAATTAGTTATTATAATTCGTGATTTATATAAAGGAATAAATTATTGTTTTCAGTTTTTCTCTTTTTGTTGTTGCTTGTTTGTTCGTTTCTTCTTTTAAATATTTACCTTGAAAAAAACTTACTTACTTACGCCTGTTACTCCTCGTGAAGGAGCATAGGCCAATCACCAGCATTCTCCATCCAACCCTGTCCTCGTCAATCACTTCCAGCTCCTTCCAGTTGTTATTCATCTTTTTCATATCTCCTTCTATTTTCCGACCTAGTCTGCTCTTTGGCCTTCCTCTTTTCCGCCTTCCTTCAGGATTCCATGTTAGGGCTTGTCTCGGGTTTTCCTAATTTCTTCTCCAACTGGAAGTTGGTGTATGCTCTCCCACAAAAGACTGTTGCTGATGGTATCCGACCAATGGATGTTGAGTATCTTGCGTAGACAACCATTTATAAATACTTTTACCTTCTTGATGGTGGTTGTTGTAGTTCTCCAAGTTTCAGCTCCATACAGTAGAACTGCCTTGACATTCGTATTGAAGATTCTGACTTTGGTGTTGGTTGACAGTCAGTTGTTTTTAGTTCCATATGTTCTTCAATTATAGGAATGCGGCCCTGGCTTTTCCAATCCTCCCCTTTATATCTGCATCTGAACCTCCTTGTTCATCGATGATGTTTCCCAGGTATGTGAAGGATTCTACATCTTCCAGAGTTTCGCCATCAAGAGTGATTGGATTGGTGTTCTCCATGTTGTATTTGAGAACCTTGGTTTTCCCTTTGTGTATGTTGAGGCCTACTGATGTAGAAACTGCTGTTATACTGGCTGTCTCTATCTGCATTTGTTCGTGTGTATGCGAGAGGAGGGCTAGGTTATCTAAGAAGTCCAAAACGTCTAATTGGTTTTGAGCTGTCCATTGTATTCCATGTTTGTCCTCATATGTCGAGGTCTTCATAATCCAGTCGACCACCAGAAGAAAGAGAAACAAAGGAGGAACAAAGCCGAGTTCCTGGAAAAAAAGATGAATGATAAATCATTGAAATCTTATTCAACCTTTTTTGTTTGAAAATATAAGACAAAGGTTGTATTTCTAAAGCAATTTCTAAATTATTATTATTATTATTGCAATTTTTTATTACAATTTATTGATTTTTCAAGGTATTCACTATTATTACAGTGATTTCTATCGACATGTGTTATGAAATGTACTTTTATGTAAATCAAATAGAGAGGGGAAATTTTCGAAAACTTTAATCAATAAATTGACAAATATTATATCTATACTACTGATATCTATTATAAGTTTGGTAAAAAACAAGAACTAAGAATAATGTATTTTCTTTTTAAACATAAAAGAACTAAATGATTAGTGTACGTTTAAACAAAGTGATAATAAAAAAGAATGCAGGTTAAAAAATAATAAGTTTTGACAAGCCAGTAAAAAAATATAGTTAAAATAGATTATTAAATGATGTAGAATCTGATTAAAATTGTTTAGGTATATTTTATTCTAACTTACAAGTTGAAATATTATCTGAACTGAGACTAAATTTTAGATGTAAAAATGATAAATGCAGTCCAAAGAGTAGTGAGCTTCAGTTAAGTCAGTTATTAAGTCAGCTACAACGTAGCTGTCATACCTTATTAGCACATCAAGATCAACACCGGATTCATAGAAGCAGTTACTTCACTGGTAGTAATATATAAAAAAGAGATTGTGTATAAGGATATGATACAGGAAGAAACAATTAGTTGATAGAAAGAAAGATAGAAAATAATTTTATTCTCATAGTTTAAGAGAAGACAAAGAGTATATACAGCTGCGTTATTGTGATCGATTCTGAGCTATGTAACCCAAAGTCTCCAACCATTGGTTATGATAGTCACAGTGACCTTAATCAAGTAGTCTGCATCTACTAACATAACTTAGACTAGAAGTGAGTGACTTCAAGTACTGATGCCATGTTTTGTTAAGTTCAAACCACTTAACTCAGTCAAACCAAAGCACCATTCTTTGAAAGTACATACAGAACACAATATTTAATCAAACTTGATGTGAATTATTTCATAGTTTCCATAAGAAATTAATAATGTTCTGATATTATCCAAAGTCAATGAGTATTGAATAAAAGAAAGTTAGTGTTAAAATGAAATTCACAATATTCATTTCATATTCACTAGATACTTTTTTGTATAGACACGTTATTTAGAATAATAAAATGAAATACACTTGATAAGTAGTTAAATCTAACTTAAATTCTTTTATATATTTTAATGAAATTCCAATGAACTACTATATATTGGTTAAATATTTTTAAGTATATCACATATTGATTTTCATTGTTTATGAGTGAATTTCGACACATTTGATATATTTCATTTGTATCTATAGTGATACTAAACAAAATGTATGTAGACTATATTCGAAGAAAAAAGGAATATGCAACAACTATATGATATTAGAGATAAGATTTTGACTTTGTAAACCGTTTTGTTTAATTTTGAAAACGAAGTTTTTCTTTAAAAACAAATTATTTGACCAACAATCATAATAAAACATAGTTATATCATATTTGATGGTTGCATGATATTGAGAAATAAATTTAATTAGTGTATTAAATATTAATCTTAGACTGTCACCAGAGATATTATTTATAGCCACTAAAAAAGAGGTTAAATGGTTTGAATTATTTTCCCTGGTTAGCGTTTTTCTTTAGCAAGTTAGCTTTCTACGGAATGGGTTCACTAACCCCATGCCCAACTCTCCTCCTTTAACCGGGCTTGAGACCGACAGTGGCTCCAGGGGTGCTCCAGGCGGAGTAAGGGCAACATATCTACAATTGAAGAACATTTGGAACTCAAAACAACTGTTAAACAACATCAAAGTCGGAATTCGCAATACAAATGTCACGGCAGTTCTACTGTTTGGGGAAGAAACTTAGAGAACTACGAACGCCATCAAGCCATACAAGTGTTTATTAACAGTTGTCTACGCATAATACTTCGAATCTGTTGACCAGACACTATCAACAACAATCTGTTGAGGGAGAGAATAAGCCAGATCTCAGCAGAGGAAGAAATCAAGAAGAAGCACTGGAAGTGAACAAGATACACAATAAGTAAAACACACAAATGTGTTACAAGACAAACCCTCAATTGGAGTCCTCAAGGTCAAAGGAGGAGAGGAAGATCAAAGAACACCTAACGCCGAGAAACGGAGACAGACATGAGATGAATGAACAAAAATTGGACAGAACTGGAAAGAAAGGCTCAGGACAGAGCGGGTTGGAGAATGCTGGTCGTCGGTCTATGCTCTATTGGGGGTAACAGGCGTAAGTAAGTAAATGAATAAACTAAAAGGAATTTTAAATATTACACGAATCTCTGTAATTGAATACTTTAGGATAAATATATGTCATACTAAAATGGGAATAAAACTTATTAAAACTATAAGTGGAGAGTAGAATGATCCTTTTTTTCTCTTGAAAGGAAATTTTTATAGTATACCGAAACTAGACTAAACCAATATGCATTCAAGGGACCGGTTAGCTGTAGTTTGTCGAAAAATTTCTCATCATGTCTAAACTTCATTGGTGATTTCAATCAATTTTCACTATTCTCCAATCTGTAACTAGTTTTCATATATGTGTATTTTCAGATTTCCTTATATATGCCGAATAAAAATGAATAATATTACAGAAAAAAGCCTTTATGATAATGATTTGTTAATAATCTGTAGTAAATCAATCTATCTGTGATTTTTATTTACTACTATGATCAAATTATCTAACATGCTGAAATAGAAACGTTAGATACTATGCAGTCTACCCAGGGATTAAAATTTTAGTTTTTCAACCTAACTTCTATTAAATAACATTAATTTTTATTCGATCTATTGTTTATTGTGTTCCTAACACATAACAGTTGTTCAATATTCATGTAAGTTTCAATTTGCTCATATATACTGTCTTAGTTTAATGATTCCAGATAGTTCAGTTTTCCTTTAGTATGAACACATCAATAAATATGTCTGAAAGTAGTACAAGCCTTATTTACTGATCTATTCATTGATTGAAAATAATGATATTTAATGTTTAGAGTCCAATTAAATGAGTATTCTATACAATATGAAATCAAATGAAGTATTACTTGTTTTATTTTAATCGAACTTGTATTGTGGTATGAATACATTCTAGGGAAAAACACCAAACTAAGACGAAACAACTATTTCATAATAACTCATTTTCAATTATTTTTGTGATTAATGTAGATTCTTTACAAAAACTGTTTGTTTACTTTGTTGTTTAGCTTATTCTTTGCCCCATGTTTATTGATCTTGTCAAAAACAAATTCTACAAAAGGTCAAATGAAAATTTATTTGGAGAACAGAATGATCTTTCTAGATACTTACTTACTTACTTTCGCCTGTTACTCCCAATGGAGCATAGGCTGCTGACCAGCATTCTCCAACCCACTCTGTCCTGGGCCTTCTTTTCTAGTTCCATCCAATTCTTGTTCATTTTTCTCATGTCTATCTCCATTTCTCGGCGTAATGTGTTCTTTGGTCTTCCTCTTTTCCTTTGGCCTTGAGGATTCCATGTGAGGGCTTGTCTTGTGACGCAGTTGGGTGCTTTCCTCAATGTGTGTCCTATCCACTTCCAGCGCTTCTTCCTGATTTCTTCCTCCGCTGGGATCTGGTTTGTTCTCTCCCACAGTACGTTGTTGCTAATAGTGTCCGGCCAATGGATCTGAAGTATTTTGCGTAGACAATTGTCAATAAACACCTGTATTTTCTGGATGATGGATTTCGTAGTTCTCCAGGTTTCTGCCCCATACAGTAGAACTGTCTTGACATTTGTATTGAAAATCCTGACCTTGGTGTTGGTTGGCAGTTGCTTTGAGTTCCAGATGTTCTTCAGTTGTAAATATGCTTCTCTTGCTTTACCGATCCGCGCCTTCACATCTGCTTCAGATCCACCATGTTCATCAATGATGCTGCCCAAATACGTAAAGGTTTTTACATATTCCAAATCTTCTCCGTCAATTGTGATTGGATTGGTGCCTTCTGTGTTGTATCGGAGAATCCTGCTTCTCCCTTTGTGTATATTGAGACCTACTGGATCTTTCTAGATAAACAATCCTTAATTAAAAAAAAACAAAAAACAACACTGTTCTTCAAATCACAAGTCTTCTTACCCATTTTATTAATTGTCTTGAATTGTGAAATCATATTGTTTACTTTCCTTCAGAAGATTTTTGAAAACATTTTTGAATTATTGTTCTTTATTGATTATTTATTATTTAAAAATTTGATTATTTACAAAACTTTCTGTTTACATGACCAAAATGATAAATAAGGAATAAGCGTATGTACCACCATGAAAAAATAATTATGATTTACTAGTCTTAGACCATGAATATCTGTCAGTCTGGATCTATGAGTATTCATAATTTGAATTATCTCAGTTAAATGACAAGTACTTCATATGAATTTATAAATATTTGCAGCAAAAGGTTCATAGTCAATAGATAAATAATTAATAATCTTCAGTTTAGGGGGTGTGGAGATTGTTAAGTTTTTTATTAGGATCATGAACCGATTGATGTTAGGCCACCATTGAAAACCTGGAAGCACTGGACAGCCGTTTTATCCTATTATGGGACTCCTCAGTAGTTCACATCCACATTAAGACCATTGGATGCCGGCTCAGTGGTCCAGTAGGTTAAGCGTTCGCGCACGAGAGTGAAGGCCATGGGTTCGAATCCCGCGAGCGGGATCGTGGACGCACTGCTGAAGAGTCCCATAATAAGACGAAACGGCCTTCCAAGGCTTCCTGGTTTTCAATGGTAGCCTAACATCAATCGGTTCATGATCTTAATCAAAAATTAATAATCTACTAGACTTCCTTTTATTAGGTTGTTCCTTAATTTTCGTTCGTTATACACTTGATCTTCTTAAAGCGTTTGTCAAAGTTATAATTGTTTTTCTGAAATGCATTTTTCGTATTAAAAGTTAAGAAATCTATACTAAATATAATTATTCATTCGAGAGATATTTCCGTGAATTCATTTCATTTCTGACTACATATTTCATACAGTGAAAATCTTTTGAACCCAAATAGTTATACTGTAGATTTCTGTAGACTACCTTGATTATATTTTTAGACGAATATGTAGTGAATGAGTCTCAGTTGGAGGAAACCAATTGATTGTTGAATACAATATTACACAGTTTCTTAGCAAAATATGAAAATCACAAATTAAATACGTCATTTGCATATCTACTTTGCATTGTTATTTCGATTGTTCACCGATTTATTTTATGTTCTCTTTAATCCAATCTTTTGCTGCCAATCATCCCACTTCCGATTGCGGCTGCATGCTACTTATATCTGTCAGTATAGGCAGCATACACCACAACTACGAGATTTTTGATACTATGAAATGTAACGTTTATATGAAGGGAAAACTGAATTTTCACCCATATGTGCTACTGTTCAGTAAATAGAGGTTAAAACTCATAGAAAATACATGAAATTACGTCATGTGAGAAGGTAATGAAAAAATTCAGTTTGAAAAGCATAATTCCTACCATTATAAATAAGTGGGTTTCAACGAACAAATGTATCAACTCAGAAGAGGTTACACACGATGAATAGTTCACCCTCTTTCTCATATGGGATACAACTCATAACCCTCTTAGTTATCTGATGGGTTTATATGCTTATGAGTGAAATACACAACTCACATGAACGTTTTGTGATAAATCACTTTCTAAGCATTGACATGAATTGCTCTACATTAAAAATTCTTTGGCAGAAAGATGTATTTCCTTCTTGTTATTCAAAAGTAATAAAGAATTATAATATAACAGTTTTACTTTGTTAATATTACATTTTCTATGAAGAGTAAAACTAAAAATGCTAATATTAATTTAAAGAAAATATTACCAGATATTGTACAACAGTTGTTTATATTTTAAATTATTCTGTTGATTATCTCCAACCCCATTATATTTTAACACGCGATATCGAGTTACTTAGACTAGTGGCCCATTGCTAGCTGAATGATAGAATTTGGTCAGTACTAGAGGATTAGGTTAACAATAAAACGATCTGTGCTTAGTAATCAATAAGTGTAAATATCTTGATCATGCAGAAGGTCAGTTGTTTTCTGAATTGCTACATGGCAACATCTCAGACTGCATACTAAGATGAGGGATTAGTTCCGTCAAGTTTACAGGTACACCTTGTTGGTGAAAACTAAATCATATGAAAACTAGGCAAAAAAAACAGTGCTTCCCGTTTGAAAGCTCCTTTCACCGATTCTTAAATTATCATTTGTTTACATGATTTTCATCTAGCTGATATCAGTATACTTAGTATCTGGTAAGTAGTATGTATGATTTATTATGGTGACTTCTGAATACAAATCAAGAAAATTTTATTTCCCAGAAAGCGTAATAAATAATCTTTGTAAAAATAATTTTATTTTCATTCTTTTATAGGTTTGGTCAGATGCTGGAACTCAAATCTTTTTCAGTTATGCTATTGGTTTAGGAGCTTTGTCTGCATTGGGAAGTTATAATCGTTATCATCATAATTCAGTTAGGTAGGTGTGTTCAATAGAAATATACATTACTGTTATTCTTTTGCATTTTGTGGAAGTTTTCTGGTATTATCTGAGTTCTTTGTAACTAGTATTTTTGGTTGGTAGATATTTTCATATTATATGGATTAAGATAAAAAGATTAACAGAAGGAAACTACTGCGAGGTTAACTCGGAAATTCAGATCATCATTAGTAAATTGTATTTTTTCAAAGTAGTTTTCGTTATGAATCGACATACGCTGGGGTAATCGGGAAAACTAAGAAAGCACTAGATAGCTATTATGTCCTTGTATGGAACACGTCATCAGTTTTACTTTTAGTAATATGTATCTTTGACAAAAAGCGGTTGATAAATTTAATGAATTCCACTGAGACCCCATAGTACTATCTTGGATCAGGTTATTTTGAAAAGAAATGCTATTATTAGAATTTCATTGATGAAATAAAGTGTCCAGAGCATTCAAATTAGTCTTAATTTCATTTCATTACTTAACTTTTTATTTATCACAACACTTTGAAACTTAATAGTCAGTTCTACATTTAGTACATGAAACCGAGTAGTCATAGGAAAACAAGACACAAAATGTAAATTTAATTGTAATTGCTTTAAATCTATCAAATGAAAATTGGAGTTTTTAAAAGATGGTGCATAGTTCAATATAACCACTTAAATAAGGAAAGATTATTTGAGCTGATAACACGCAATGTACATTGTTACTGTTCATTCAATTTAACTCTTATTAAAGGTATTATAAGGTTTCAATATGGAACTGACTAGTGTTTAATTTTTTATCTTATTTCCCGTTATAAACAATGAATAATCATTAGCTGCCCATAAGTATACTATAAAGATTATGATACGAACTGTTTTCATCAAGATTAAGAACGAAACTGTTTATATAAAGAAAGATAAATCGTCAATTATAAAAAAAGAAATCAGAGGATGGTTGATAATCAAAAAAATGAAAGTAGGTTACTGAGCACTGAGAATTAAATAGACTAAATAAAGATTAGCGAATCTAAAACAAAACCGAAGGAAAAAGTAAAACAATAAGATAAATCGTCAAAAAGTTGAAGATTACAGTTGTTTTTTAAATTAGTGAATAAAAATTGTAAGCTCAAAATTGCTACTGTATCACATGACATTTCGAATGGGTTCATTAGTCTTTGTAGAGTATCTTAAAAGATCTTCTTAATGAGTTGGATTTTTTCAATATAATATATCTAATAGAATAAATACAAACTGAGTTATTCTTTCTACTAAACTGTCACACTAGATCTTAAACATTCATTCTTATACGTAAGGATTATTAGTGAATGATAATAAAATTTTACATCATTAAAACGTGTGAATTGAATGTAGATTAATGAATGGATGCAATTATATAATGAAGCCAAGTGTTTGATGTTTGTGTGACAAGATTATTAACTTAAATCTCAAATAAACCAATATATAAGCCCAGGTCACCAGCTAGAAAAACAGATTCTTAATTTGATAAAATAACGTGGTTATATATACACAATATTAACATAAATATATTGTCATCAGATGTTATAAACGACTAGACAATATTAATTTTGTGGATTACTCACTTTATATTGAATTCGAATGCAATTATATTACTTACTTACTTACGCCTGTTACTCCTCGTGAAGGAGCATTGGCCGCTCACCAGCACACGCCATCCATCCCTGTCCTGGTCAATCACTTCCAGCTCCTTCCAGTTGTTATTCATCCTTTTCATATCTGATTCTATTTCCCGACGTAATGTGTTCTTTGGCCTTCCTCTTTTCCGCTTCCCTTCAGGATTCTAAGTTAGGGCTTGCCTCGTGATGAAGTTTGATGATTTGCGTAATGTATATCCTGTCCATTTGCATCATCTTTTCCAAATTTCCTCTTGAGCTGGAAGCTAGTTTGTTCTCTCCCACAGTAAGCGGCTACTGGTGGTATTCAGCCAATGGATGTTGAGTATCTTGCGTAGACAACTAATTATAAATACTTGTACCATTTTGATGATGGTTTTAGTAGTTCTCCAAGTTTCAGCTCCATACAGGAGAACTGCCCTGACGTTCGTTTAATATTTATGCTCTTTGCATCATGTAAATAGTTGCTTACATCAGGCAATTATACATCAAACCAATTTGTAATGAATTAGTGAAAAATGTATGAAATACATTTTGATTTAGAATGATGAACCATTCTGTAATATTCAAATAAGAGTAATTTTCCTTTTTATGAAATGAATGTACCCCTTTTTTTAAAAAAAAAACAACTTAATAAATTCATTTTACTGTAACCATTTCATCTCATTTATTTTTTTTTCGTTAACATTTAGAGATTGTCTTTTATTTGCTGGTGCAAATACATTTACAAGTTTATTGGCTGGTTTTGTTATATTTGCAACACTTGGCAATATGTCTTATATATCCAATGTTCCAATACATTTAATTGCAGAATCAGGACCAGGTTTAGCATTTATTATTTATCCAAAAGCATTAGGAACATTGCCTGGTAGTCCTATTTGGTCATTTTGTTTTTTTATTATGATTATACTATTGGGAATTGATAGTATGGTTAGTGAATTTGTTTATTATTATTATTATTTTTTTTAAAATTAAATAAAATGACTATTAATTAAATTGTTTACATTATTTGTCATTATTATCAGATTATACAAATGAATATGGTAAAATGCATACAATTATAACTGACGGAATAATTAAGCATTGAATACTTGTGTTTTTTCTAAAGAATTTTCAAATATTGTTATGAAAATAATTAGTAAATAAATGTTTATCCTGTCAAATGTTTTGATGAACGAATGGGTTTAAAAGACATAATCTACAATTTGAAGAAACATGAGAGTAGTTCTTTTTTTATTAGGTACCACCACTTACACATACTTATTTACTTACGCCTGTTACTCCTCGTGAAGGAGCATAGGTCGCCCACAAGCACACACTATCCAACATTGTTCTGGTCAATCCTTTCCAGCTCTTTCCAATTGTTATTTATCCTTTTCATATCTGCTTCTATTTCCCGACGTGATATATTCTTTGGCGTTCCACTTTTCGGCTTCCCTTCAGGATTCCAGGTTAGGGCTTGCCTCGTGAACTTACACATACTTGAAAAAATTATATCTAAAATATAATGGTACCTATCATTATTTGTAAAAGACATGTAAATAAATATATATAACAATTAGTCCCTTTAATAAATTTCGATAATGCAATGAGATGACAAAGTTTATCAGAATTATGTGATACATTTGCGCAATATATTTCGAACAGTCTGATCACACATATACTTGTTAAGACATTTTATGTCTTATATATATATTTACTGAGGGAACCTACTTAATACTGCTTGTTCAAATCATATTCAATGGGGTCATTTTCTACTGATTTCTCATTCTACAGTTTAGTTTGTGGTTAGTTCTTCGTAAAGAACTTCACAGATTTTATATGATTTGAAGTTATGATCATCAATTATGGTTTTATAAACTACAGATGTAACATTATTTTTAGTACAACTATAATGTTTACATTTTTTTTCGTGCAACCAGATCCTTTGATGGTGATCTAGCATACATGGACTCATGAATTCAACTATTAAAATTTAAAGAGAGCAGGAACGTTTTCTCATCATCTGTATTTAATCTAAATTGCAATTATTAACATAAATATGGTTATTAACAATTGTTTAACATACTTTAGTTCGTGAAGTTTAGATAGATGTTTAAAACGTAACCGAGATCATAATAATCCGAAGAATAGGAACACAAAGCGTACGAATAAATATAGTTAAGATCTCTCTGTGTGTGTAGCAATGCACATTAAAATAGGTATTATGGTTGCCAATAATCATAATCAAAATAAAAGAGGTTTTTATTCTTTCGTCTTCTAATCTTCATCTCTTACACAATCTGATTGATGTACACATATTTGTATATTTTATCGTGTTGAGTGATTACCTAATCACTTATTACTTTCATCACCTTTACATAACATTTGAATTATTACTTCCCAACATTTTAATACACATCGATCTTAACTATATGTATTCAGACACTTTGTATCCCTATTCTTCGGATCATTATGATTTTGGCTACGTTTTATCCATCTATCATAACTTCACGAACTAAAGTATGTTAAATATTTGTTGATAACCATATTTATAATATAACTTTAGGTTGTATGCAGCTGATGAGAAACTGTGAAATAAAATAATGAATCCAATTGATGATTTTGCAAACTTTGTTGTTCTTGCTCTGTTTGAAAACATAAGTATTGGAAACATTGAAAGATAAAATTATATCATTCCAATACGAAGACAAAAATTATTAGTGGATAACGCGTATAGTGTTTGGAGCATCAAGTACCGGTTTCAAGTCCCAATGTGAACATCAAGACTGGGATGCAAGTACACTCAGCTGTGTACAAGTCCTAACCAGGACTGTTAGCCATAAATTTACCTATACTCTTGATTAATATTATTCCGGAAAATACCTTATAGAAGATATTGTTGAACACAGAATTAAGCGATTAAACTAAAGTAATTCATGAAAATGATCGTAAACTAATTAAGTAAAACGATCCAGAATGACTATAATTTTAAAACTTTGTCATTGTGAAGACAAAACTCATTTGAAAAGTTAAGCTCTTTCCTGTAGGCTTCTCAGATAACTGAGGAAATTGATTCGATTAATACCAAGCTTTCATCAACATAATTAAATTTCAACAATTGAGATCATAAGTCAATTGAAGCTAGACCACAATGGAGAACCTAGAAGCACTGGATGGTCGTTTCATCTTATTGTGGGATTCCTCAGTAGTTCGCATCCACGACTCCGCCTCGGGGGATTCGAACCCACAACCTATCGGTCTCACGCGCGATCCCTTAACCACTAGAACACAAAGTCGGCATCCAACGGTGTTAGTGTCCAATTGATAGGTCCTGGGTTCGAATCCCGCGAGGCGGGGTCGTGGTTGCTCACTATTGAGGAGTCTCACTATAGGACGAGATGGTTGTGTAGTGCTTCCAGGTTTTCCATTGTGGTTTAGCTTCAATTGACTCATGATCCCAACTATTGAAATTACTACAATTTCCACAAACTACCTTCTGATAATAATTAAATTTATATATACATTAATCATAAAAACCTTAGTCATGCTCACTTATTATCTTTACGACTGTTGTTGATTAAGAGTTTGTTAGCTGTGTTAAGGTTTTATCTAAAGAGATTTTGATTTTTCTTATTAACATAATTAATTAGTTGAAGGGATGTTAGGTTTCATTGCTAATGAATAAACTTTTGAATAAAAACCTAAAAAATAAATGGACTGAAAATGTACTTTAGATTTATGTCAAAATCTATACTGGTAAAATCTTGATAAGATGTATGCAACCTAAGAGACAAATATCTGTCAAGTTAGGAATTTATGAAAACATGTTAACTTTGATAAAATGACGTCAACATTTAAATAAAATTAAATACAACTAATTAAAGAATGTCTGCCTTTTTAATAAAATGTATTTCAGTAAGTTACAAGCATTCATCAGAATGCTCTGGATCTACTACTAATCCCTTTTTTTTTTAAACCTACAAAGCCATAACATCTAATCGACTACACATAAGATAATTCCGTATAACTAAAGTTCGATGCATTAAAGAAGACTTTAAATCTTTATGTAATACTAAATGTGAAATTACAATTAAGAAGGATGTGTATTTCATTGAATTAATCTGTTTAAACATGAATGTATTTCTTGTATGATTATTACTAAAACATTGTTTATTAGCCCAAATTCACTATCTGATTATTTCTTAAAATTCATTTATTATTCAGATGATTTCAGTTCGTGTCAAAAGTAGTCTTCAAAATAAAATAATATTTGTATATCCATTCTGCAAAAATGTCTTCTATAAAATCTACCCTATTATATTGACTAATATTTTTTATCACCATCATTAGAAACTGTGCTAAATTTAAGCTAGCAACATAAAGATTTTAAAACCTGATGTAAACAAAACAAAAAAAAAAAAAGGAACTAATAACAACTTGTAAGAAAATAAAAACAATAAGAAACGTATCATAAACCGGAAATGATTAAGTTGTTTATGAATTTCAATTGTATAGTTGGAATGTTTACTCGATAAGAAATGTTCATACTACTCATAGAGTAGAAACTATAATTATAAAAATTTCAAAGTTTTATTTGTAGTCATAAAGAAATTACTAATATAGGGGTTGTGGAGATTATTAAGTTTTTGATTGAGATCTTGAACCAATTGATGTTAGACCATCACAATTGAAAACCTGGAAGCACTGGACGGCCGTTTCGTCCTATTGTGGGACTCCTCAGCAGTGCGCATCCACGATCCCGCGAGCGGGATTCGAACTCAGGGCCTTCGATTTCGCGCGCGAACGCTTAACCATGGATTGGTTGATGTTAGAAACTATCATCATTGGATGCCGGCTCAGTGGTCCAGTTGGTTAAGCGTTCGCGCGCGAGACCGAAGGCCCTGGGTTCGAATCCCGCTCGCGGGATCGTGGATGCGCACTGCTGAGGAGTCCCACAATAGGACGAAACGGCCGTCCAGGGCTTCCAGGTTTTCAATTGTGATGGTCTAACATCAATTGGTTCAAGATCTCAATCAAAAAATAAAGAAATTAAACAAAAATCAATTTTTCTACATTCATAGGGATTAATTAAAATTAAACGGATATTAAAAACATTATATCCCCGATCTATATTATTATTATTATTATTAGTTTGTATCTTTGTTAAAGTATCTTTGCTTTAAAATGAGCTTCAACGGAATAACATGATTAGATAAAAAAAAAAGAAGACAAAAGTTCAAATACTGTATTGTTAATAGATGTATGTTTTTTCACTAATTTCTATTAATTTTAATGCTTAAGGTCATGAAGAAAGTTCACTTTCGAATTCATGATAAATCACTGTTCCAAGATTAAGATTTACATTATAGCTTTTACATACGTGTTCATATGTACAGGATTAATTTTGACATTTTATAAAATAATCCTTCCTTAATGATTCATTTTTTTTTAAATGCTGAGGTTTGTTTTTATGACTCTTGTAATAAATCAATAAATTGTTTTCTTTATGTATTTCTATGTTAAATATTTTAGTTTGGTGGAGTTGAAGGTTTTGTTGCTGCAATCTCCGATTACTTACCTCAAGTGATATTAAATCCATGGTATCGAGTTAGTTTTGTTGCAGCCACATGTATTATATCTTATGGTATTGGATTATTTATGGTGACTAATGTAAGTAATTTTTCAGCTATACGTGTTTAATCATTATGTACACGTAGTGATCCGTTATACTTTGAAATGTTTAGAAATTCATGTTTCAACTTTGTCGTATAGTTCAAAGCATTTAGTATATATATATATATATATATATATAAATACCAGAAATCCGTGTTTGTTAGTGTAAAATGGTGAAAATCAGTTTTAAGATTCATAGCATACAACAGCCTGTTATTTATTTCTGACAGATATATTTCTCTAAATGAATATGACTATTCACTATGATATGTATTTAATGATACTGTTACACAAAACCATATGTGAGATTGTAAATATTTATGTTAAATAAAACATATTGAGAAGAAAACATTAATATTATACATATTATTTATGAGTAAACAAGATATAGACGAAGTTTGAATAAGATTTAGACCATTACTTTATTATTTGAAGTTACAAAACTAGTAAACATCAGTAAGCTTTGATGAGTTGATTGTAACTTCGTCGATTATATAATATATAGTATGAATGTTTCCGTACATAAATTGACATTGTATTCTATTGAACTTTGTTGAAAACCATCGTAAAAATACGATGTACTAGGCAATTAAAAGATTTAACTGACGGTTTTTCTATATATCGAAATTGGGTTAATTGTGACGTGAATAATAACTAATTATCAATTTATACTTAATAGTAGAAGAAATTTAGCTAAGGATGAGATAGATATAGAAACGAAACAATAAGTCATTTGCATTAGTTGTTTGGATCTTCCCATTCGTTTTTAGAACTGTAATTGATCAGTCTGTTTTAGGACTATACACATCCTAAATTTCAACCTATTTCATTAGCTAGTGGTTATTTGGACTCAGTAGCTCAGTGGATAGTGCGATAGTATGTGAAGCAAACGGTACTGGGTTCAATTTTCGGGGTAAACATCAACCTCGGTATGTAGGTGCATCCAACCGACGAATCAAAAATAGCGCAAAACGCGCGTCCTGTATTCCATTCGTATCGTTTATTCATCTCTGCTGATAAAACGGTAATAGTTTGAAAAAATCCACTACATATATAAATAAAAGCAGTTAGTAAATTAGATGACTAGTGTTGTGAGTCGGCAATTAAATTATTCTTCCATAAGTGTAAAGATTATTCTAAGCGAAAACTGAGTTTCTCTATTCTCATTATGTTTTTACTCTGTTAGTGTCTTTTGGCAGTTGAGAATCCATTGAGAATATGAGATGTGTTATAAATCCTCCGAAAAAACATTACTCAGATCAATAATATAGTTTGGCATAATACTTCATCTGTCGAAATACATATATACCTTGAATATTTTATCTTAGTACGATGTTTCAGTACATGTTTCTGTATGGTTAGGATTAGAAACTATGATATTTACGCATATAAGTAATTTATTTTGATTGATAGATAAACCCTATTTGTTTACTATTCTGTTGGATGTGATTCATCTCAACAATATCAAGCATTAATTAATTGAATTGAGCCAGAACAACCATTGATGCAGAATAATATGAATTCTTTATATTTCTTGGTTTCTAATGAACTGCTTACAACCACATAAGTACTGAAAGTTACCATTGACGTAATATATAATGTGAAACAATTGACATAAATGAACGAAAAGAATTAGAATGACAATGGCTACCAATTTACATTTACGCTCCAAGGCACATACATACGTTGGAAGAACAGATTAAAGAGTGCATGTTCTCATTTCCGAGCAAGTTCCCAAATTCTTGATAGGGATAGACAAAATGGCTCTAAAGATTTCAATAGCTCGGCATTCACTTGATACCGGACATATCATTGACACTCCAAAAGCCTTTAAAATTGTCAGCAAACAAAAGAACGCAGCGTCTTTTCGATTTGCCGAAGCAATAGCAATAAAAACATTTACACCTGACCTATGTATGCAGAAAGAGACAGTAACTTATTTTTGTCATCATCATTATTTTGTGTGTGTTTATTTTGTTATATGGTCTTATATAACAAACACCAAAACCACCCCTTTACTACTATGTTTTCATTCACTTAATTCTGTCAACTAATGTAAACTCTTCAAATCCTATTTCGCTTATTCCGTAACCCATTATGTCAATCTTTAGTTCCAGTTCATAAACTCAAAATTATCACACAATCCATTTTGTATTTCTACGGAACTCATTTGATTGATACATCAACCGCCTCTTATGTTTCTAACTCCAACTCTATATGTCCTCTAAACTGTTCTGTTGTGACGCAGTTACTCATTAAAGACAGTGGTGGACGGTGGCGCAATGTCGCGGATTGGCCAAAATTAGACATCATTACCGTCGAATCCCAGCTCAAAGGTCTAGGGATCAAGCGTTCGTGCGCGAGACCGAAGGTCCTGTGTTCGAGCTCAGAGTGTGGGATCGTGGATACGCACTGCAGAGGAGTCCCATACTGGGACGAGACGGCCGTCTGATACTTCCAGGTTCTCAACGGTGGTCTGATATTGTGCTAGTCATGATATCAATCTAAACTCAATAATCTCCACAACCCTATACTGATATATATATATATATATATATATATCTTTAGTGAGAGAGAGTTGTTACTGATAACCCTTTCGTTCATTTATGTCGATTGTTTCACATTATATATTACGTCAATGGTAACTTTCTGTACTTATGTGGTTGTAAGCAGTTGATTAGAAACCACAAAATATAAAGAATTCATATTATTCTGCATCAATGTCTGTTCTGGCTTTATTCACATTCATAAAGGGTACAAACTGTATGAAATTAATTAATCGATTCAACGATGGTTTACATTGACCATTATATTTTCCGATTCTTTTTCTAACGAAAACAATCCATAACTTTCATCTCAATGATTTTAAGCCATTAAGGTTGATTAAAACCCTTTGAAATAAAATAAATTTATTACAATGGAAATTTTGTTAGTTTCTGTTCTGGTTAAAATAGCGAATAATTTGTAGTAGTATGACTTAAAAAATTCATTAAAGAATGGCTGGTAAAACGTTTATTTACCTTTTATAAGCTTTTAATTAGAAAGTCACGATTAGTGATGTTCAATCTGATACGAAATGAGAAATTCGTCAACGGAAGTACATGATAATGACGATGATAATGATGCAATATTAACGATTGACTGCATTTAAATTTGAGAAATAATGAATTCAAACCTAATAGTCTAAGCGTAACGTACAATGTTATGAACGCGTCTAATATGGAAGAATCAAGTAAAGCTTAGACAGTTGTCTAGCGTTTTCTAGATATCAACAAATATTTATCAAATACCATTCTAAAATGTTAACTATCTTCAAACTGATCTTTTATCTTAATAAGGTACTTTTCTTGAGTCATTCATAAAGATAAAACTTACACATAATACAAAGACAACTTAAATATTTACAGACCTTTTGTCAAATATTTAAAGTATGCAGGGTTATTGATTATACATGTTATTTCAGCTGAATGATCTGTAATTTATTTGTATCGTTAGTACATTGGCGATTATTTGTCTTAATAATTTAAGGTGCGCTTAATAACAAATATGAAAATAGTTATTGTTATGTTAGTAGTATTGTAGTGAAGGAGAACACATCTGGGGACAACCAAGTGTAGTATACACCATAGTATTACTAAAAAATGAGAAGCATTGTGTACATATGACTTTCTTTCTAAAAAAAGAGATTCATTTTTCTCATGTGTCTCTTGGCTAATGTCGGTTTGCTTTTTCATAACACATTCCTATATGTGAATTACAGGAGGAAGAGTTTTATATCAAAATTGTGTATTTAAGACATGTAAAAAGATATGTTAGTTTTAAATCATTCTCATCAAATTTATATCCCGCATAATTATGGGTGTATTGAAATTAAAACATGATACACTGAATAGCTGATCAACGAATAATTTCCACTGAAAATAAAATCTTTCAAATTAATTCTGATATGGCATAACATATGTAGACTATATGAGTAGATTTGCACTGATCATGTTTAGATTCGCAGTAAGTTTATAAATATAGATTATCTGCGTATATCTTTATCTGTCTAACAATATTATGCAAGGAAACTGACTAAATCATAATGTTAATAATCAGCACTTTACCTGATCAAATTCAATCAATCTCAAAGGTTGATGATTATGTTCATGAGTAGAGATGGATAATGTCTAGCAAGAGAATGCAGGACGCGCGTTTTATCTTATTTATGACTCATCAGCATCCGAGAGTTGAGGGGACATCAAATATTGGGTGCAGGTATATCCAGTTGCCGAGTCCCAAATAGGACCAAACGCGCGTCCTGGATTTCACTGCTAGCCACCATCCACTTCTGCTTATAATGCTCGTGAGTTAGAGCAATATCAAGACAATCTGTACAGGATTCATATATGCGAATAACAGACCGATCAATCGTAGCCCTAAACGTCAACGGAAACTTTCAATCAGCCAATACAAAGTTGGAACACTTTCATGCTTTAGCAATTTCATCCAATATTAGTTTTCATTAGGTGGAAACTTTATTTACATCAATAAAATAAAACCGACCATAAAATTGAACTTTGGGAATAAAACTGAAAACGCTTCGGAATGTTTTGTTTTTCTCCATTAACTATAATTAGTTAATTAGGTATGATGTGCCCATTCGTCAACCCAAGGATTTACTATTAAATTGCAAACGTATGGTTTTGCCAATCTTATAAGTATATTTAATTGTTTAGATAAAAATATGAGGTGGCAGTATTGAGGCCAGTTATGTCTAATAACTTACGGAATATATTAGTTTCCTCGAAATTATAAATATTTCATGTTGATGAGTAGTGAATAGCATTTCATATAAGTTCAACTCTTCCTGGAGATCACCTTCTACCAACTTACGTTTAAATATATGAACAAACCAACTGTTTCTCACGCAAACCAATATGTAAGTCAAAAAGTTTACTGGAAATCCGGTTTTATTGTAAGTTACGTAACTTCTAAGTCGATGAATGACACTTTTTAAAAATCAGTTGAAAAAGTTAGCTTATCATTAGGCCGACGTAGTTAATCTCTTCTTAGTTAAAATACATACTTAAAAGAAGAATAACTAATCTTAAGGTTTTACTACAAACAACATGTTTTCATATACAAGCTGATATTCATACCGAAATCCCACTATTGATTTGATAAAAGAAAACTTCACATATGTTATAAATAACCTAGAACTTTACATAGGAATAAGCACCAATGTGCCAAAGTTATCTTCATAGCACGAGAGTGAACATAGTATTTGACTGCAAGTTTACCTCAACTGAAAACAACAGAATAACAATTTATGAAGAATTTACTTAATAACTATCTAATGTCTACGGATTAATAATCGCCTAGTACTATCTTAGTTCAAGTTCCATTTTCATCAACTAGATTCTTTACAGATGACCTAGGTTTTTTAAAATATCACCGCGAGACGAAAGATTGTTAATATTGATTGTTCAAAATTCACATACTAACACAACACGCTTTTCAGAGCTTCCTCGGTTTTCAGTTGTTATCTAACTAAAATCAGTTTGTAATATAAACTATACAAATATATAAAGGAAAACAGTACATTCTAATAGCCTAGATGTAGCCTAATACTAAAAGAAAAACCTAAACAATAGCGTATAGGATAGTCAAAATAATATTAAACTACATTAATCTTATTTGATTTCTTCTTCTGTATTTCCAATAAGCAAACAGATCAATAAGAAAAATAGTTTATTATATTTACGCAGGTAAATCACTTTGCTCAGTATATCAAAAGTTTAAACTTGTGATGAATTACTTCTGTTCAATTCATTCTTGTAAAAGAATTATTTTTCCCGATGATTATTCATTGTATTCTATCTATTTATTATTATGGCTGTTTTGTTTTTTCTTTCCTTTAGGGCGGTATGTACATATTTCAATTATTTGATTATTATTCGGGTAGTCGTATAATTTTATGTGTTACATTTTTGGAATGCATCGTGATTGGCTACATATATGGTAAGATTTTAAGATTGAAAAAAATAATGTTGAATTAAATGTATTACCGTTTAGTTTTCAAAGTACGTCAATTAGTCAGTAACAACGTAGAACTTCGTACGTAGGTACATCAGTTCGAGTTGCCACACCACATTAGCACAGAGATGCAGTTGTTGATTCAAATCCCGTAGTGGTATTTAAAGAGTATAATCCAGTGAAATAAATTTGGAAAGAGAAAAAAAGAGACAAGGAGGATTCAGGAGAACACAAAGAACGCATGCACCTGTGCCATTGCAAACGATTTTGAGCTATATCATTCAGGGCCTCTAACCATCGGTTGCTATCATCTCGCGGTCCCCAACCAGTTAGTCAACACCTACCAACATGACTCAGTCCACTTGTCAGTGACTTCGTGGATTTGTGCCATATTTTGGTCTGGCCGCCCTTAGCTTTCTTCCAACTTCTACATCATAAAACATCGCACGTCGGGGCAGTCGGTGGTTGGGCATACGTAACACATTTCCCAGCTATCTCAACTGATGAAGTTTCACTACGTCATCAATTGATTCGCCATCCTTACCTAGTACGCGTTTTCTAACAACTGTATTACTTACTCGATGGTCCCATGATATACGAGCAATGCTTCGAAGACACCTATGATCGAATACCAGTAACCTACGAATATCCTCTACACTTATCGCTCATGTTTCACTGCCATAAAGAAGGACGGAAGGAACTGCTGCGCAGTAAACCCGTCCTTTGGTTGATAGACGGATATCTCGCCTACGCCATAAATGACGCAAGTTGGTAAAACCTAGTCGAGCCTTCTGTATCCGTGCTGAGATTTCGTCACACACGAGACCACAACTATGTCATGATGAATGTATTGGAAACATACTTGTATTGCTTGAATATGAAACAACAATTGTATTGATTTCAATAATTTATGACACAGTTAGTTATGGTTGTTTATTATATATATATATATATATATATATATATATATATATATATCAATTATTCCAGTTATCACACAGCATATAATTGGTTCATGTTACGACACATTGTTTTACATTTACATCTATTTTGAAGCAGTTTTCAATGATAAATGTCAAATATAAAAAATGCTGTTGTATTGTACACGTATAATTAGATTTTCTTATTTGTATTGTTTATTTGTCAGAATAAATATTTTCTATGGTTTATAATTAATTAGATCGATACTTTCTATCATAGAAAATGTTGAAGTAATTTTCCTTAGTAGGAATTATAAATATTGATTATTCTGTTTACCATCAAATTATATACTGAATTATTTGTATACATTTGCTTTAGAAATTACCTCTTTCTACTGTTTGTGTTAATGATTCAATGTGCACACCCTTTGTCTACCTAGTTGTTAATGATTTCACAAGGCCTCGATAAGTCTGATAAATTGGTATGATTGCTGAATCTCAATAGTGATGCACGTTTTCAACCTTTTAATGACTTGTTCTAATCTATTTTCAAATTAGTTGTTGATTAGCTAGTGTAAGCAGCAGGGGTACCAGATTGATTACGACAAGATATTCAACTGTTTTAATTAATTTCATCTTAAAATTTCACCATAACTGTAAATAGAAACATAAATATATGCCAAGTAACATTGACAAAAATGTTAAAAATCTAATATGTACAAATCCTAAAATCACTATGTAAGTATTTGTCTGTTTGTTAACATTTAGTCCCCGTTGTCTGAATCCAAAATCAACTTTCATGAAATATGTATCTTACTTGACTTCGTATATATTCTGTCGACTTATTACGTTTAGAACAATGGTTTGTCAAACGTAGACGAATCGAATGTAGGGTTCATACTTATACTGAAAGTCAGACAAAAACACAAGATATAATTGTATAATGCGCTGGAGTTCTGTAATACACCAATTTAGCGAATAACAAGGTGACTGTTTTCATACATCAAGTGAGAAACATGGAAAGTGGATGGATATATGGGTACTACTATATACACATGTACAAAACATAATCAAAGTTATGGGTAGGTGACAACACTGAATATATGAAATAGAGATTAAATCGAAAAAATAGAATAATTCCTCGTTCCGAAGTTCGGAATAAATCAATTGTGTGTTTAGTTGCCAGAATAGCTTTTTGTGGGCACTTTTTTATTACTTGACTCGGCTAGTACAAGTACCATTATTTTACACAATTGATATGATGAATAACATAATTTGTAATATAGTTGTTATACGAAAATACACCGTGCAACCATGATGAACTCATTCAGATACATAAGTATAAGATAAAATACCTAGTGAGCTTGTGGTTATTTGCAATAGTCTGAATAGCTCATATGATATATCTGAAGACAATAACTTTTAGAAACGTTGCTTATCATTAAATTTTACCTTAACTCGAAATACAGTCTACGAATTTTTCGTCAGACCAAAAACTTAACGTTGTCAGTGATTTTATTATATCACCACTTCAATCTGTATGTTATAGTGGGAGGTTTGTATGGATTATTGCTTAGCATGACATTTCACTTATTCATATCATGTATAAACACTAATGCGCTAAATCTAATTTTATTCTTTGAAAATAAGTCAGTAAATGAGTTACCAGAAGATGATCAATACTGCAATTATTGCTTGTTAAAGATGCAAATTTGATAAAATTGATGATGAATTTTCATATCAACCAAAATATAAAAACTATTTCATTACTTAGAATATAACGATTTATCGTTATTATAGAATTTACAGATTCTTCAATAATAATAATAAATATTTCATATTCGTACCTCAGGATTTTATCAACATTGTAGAATATACCTATCCATACAATCTGATTATTTGACTTGATCTATAGTCGGTACTCTGTTTTGCGTTGATTAAGATATATGTAGTTCTACCTTAAGTATTAATTTTTTTAATATACCAAATCTAAAATTAATTGTTTTTTCATTACAAAACATTAATACACTCTTAACATTTTACAAAACTTTTGTTTTCTTTTAGGATGGAGACGGTTTGCAAATGATATGAAGTCAATGTATGGCTTTTCACTTAAATGGTTTTGTTGTTTATACCTATGCATTATTACTCCATTGTTTACATTTGTAAGTGATGAGATAGATATTTTGACCTCTTTTTACCCTTATATATATATATATATATATATATATATATATATATATATATATATATATATATATATTCATGTCTAAATGTTATATTTGAAGTGACCTTAGCAACTGAAATATAAATATTGTTAAGGTTTCACCTGATGAACTAATTCAAACATTTTCAGAATAATAATCAAAATCAAAATTATCAAAGAGTGTATAAGGTTCAATACAAAATATCACTAAAGGCTTAAATATAGCAAGATCACGTAACAATCTGATGTTCAAATTGTTTATTTGGTTAAAAATTCATGAGTGTATTTGTATGTTTGGATGTTAATTGTTATAAGGAAACCGTGAGAATATGATATCATTGACTTCTACTGACGACAAATTAGTGGTTTTTATTTGTTACAAAATCAACAATCTATATGATTAAGATAAACTAGCTAAGCAGATGTTGAAGCAGATTAATTATATTGTTAGTTATGTTGAGAATAATAAGAGTTTTTGAGATGATGGAGAAGATTTGTAGCTCAAATGGATGATTTTGATGGAATTTCGTTCTCTGAGGTGAACGGTTTGGTCATGGAGCTTTCGTCGTTATTCTGAACGACATCATCAGCATAAAACTCAGGTAGATGCAAAGTGTTCAAATTTCTCCACATATGACTCAGCTTGTTCCGTAGACATCCATTTTGATTGGCTATTGTTGATCTTTAACCTATCACTGTTCACTTCTCCATTTTGATTGTATCTCCTGTTGATTTGATTCTTGGTCCTCTGAACAAAGGGCATAACGCTGATCACATTTTCAAATTGCTCTCAGTAATGCATTCTACCTATACGATTGTAGCATTATTTGAACTCTTACACTGATTGGTAAATACAGTATCTCAAGTGACGTCTTGTTCGTCATTTACAACAATAAATCAAATGGATGAATAGTTACAGATTCTTCGTGAATTTTTTTAGTCATCCAGAAAACTATCGATTTGAATATGATTATTTTTGATAGGACACTTTTATTTGTTAACTCTTTGTTTAATGGCTGGTTTTGTCCACATAATTTTTGCATGAAGAATAGAGTCTGTTTGGTTTGTAATTCGTATACATAAAGTTGATACATCTGATTTGTTATGTAAAATAATAATAATAATAGGTCACACAAACTTCTTCAGGTATCCTTTTCAACAGTCATATTGTCTGCTTTGATTGATTCTCATTTTTGTCCATGGTATTCATACTTTAGGTTCTGTTTATCTTCAGTGTAATTGTATACGAAGAACTCACATATATGCGAGCTGTCAAACCTGAACCATATCACTTTCCGAAGTGGTCTGTGATATTAGGTTGGATGATGGCCAGTTCAAGTTTGTTCTTCATTCCAGGTGTCATGGTGGCAGAGGTTATAAGAACACCGGGAACATTTCTAGAAGTAAGTTCACTCATGTGAATTATTTTTTAGTAAAATTGTGAGAAACAGATTTTCCGGTTGAAAACTTTGAGGTTTGTGGTGTCGGTTACAATGCCAAACCCACATAACTTATTCTAGCTTCCGGATAGGTCAATCTATTCATTCATCTTGAGTCGCATTTCGACCTTGTCACTTATCCAATTTGACTGCTTTTATGTAAACGTGTGTGCGGATTTCTTATCATCACATGTTTGTAACCTATTTTTGTGTAACTAAAACTATCTAGTCACGTTTTATTAAAACGAGTTGGCTTGCATGCCCTCTCCACCGCGCATCATTTTGTTGCGTTCTCTTCGTTTTGTTTCTTTTATCGTTTGTCTGGATAAACGAATGTATGAAATACACGTATTCGAAATTTATTCTCGTATTTGACTTAATTCCGTTATTCACTAACGTACGAGAATTGGGGACATGTATATTTCAACAATAATCATTCACGCGATCTGCCTGGAGTCAGATCACGGGCGACTAAAAGTTAAATAAATGAGCAATGTGAAATAGTGTGCTACCTAATCGATGTTTGGTGAATAGGAAGAAATATACGCATTATGTAGTCAGATATTAGATACATAAAAGTTTGTTTACTAGAATGACAGTTAAAGTATTAAGGCATGTTACCTGGTTTTACTGTTGACTGATTAAATAAAGCAATGTAATAAACAATTGATATTATCTAACATTATGACAAATAAGGCTTAGAACTTTACACTTAAAGCATTAAAGACTGGTTGATTGGTCTTGGTATTCTGATTGTTCAAAAACTTCAGCTGAGTTGATGAATTCTCCTCCAAAAGTCCACGATGTGAAAATAAATGACTGAACAAATTGTGTTTGTGCATTTATGTGTAAGATTGACTTACTAATGAATGATATTCGGTGTCAATATGTTTTGTATGAAGGAAAAAAACTTTTCACATGATTTTCATATAACCGACTCATGTTATCCTATTTGCTAAAGTCAACATCTCAATATGATTGGATTAACACAATATAGATTTGATCTGATTTGATTGTTAAAACGCCATATATATTTCCTTAATCATTTTGATTTTGATTATTACCCTAAAGAAGTTCAGACAAATTTACTGGACGAAACGTTGGAATTATTTAAGTTTCAATCTCTGAGACTATTTCAAATATAACTTTCATATATAATAAATGATTATTGTTAGTAAAATTTTCAGTTGTACAAACTATTTGCCTAAGTTTTACGTGGCCTAAATTTGGTGATGGAGCTCTTAATGTTGTTCGTGGATAAATTTCAGGAAAAGATTGATTTTATACAATTCCATATAAAACTTATTCAATATTACAGACTACTTACAAATGATTAAAGTAGTAAGATTGGTCTTTGGAATAAAATAGACGTTTCAAAACATGTTTATATACGAACCAAGAGCGGCTTACAAACCAAATGAAATGTAATATTGAGGAATTCTTTTTTTTTTCAAAGGTTTTTTTAGCAAGGCTAAATTGAACATATGACAATTTGAGTATTTACTTTTTGATGCATTATTGCTAAACATAATTTTATGATGTAAATACACTTAAGTTTACTTGATGTTCTTAAAGACTGGAAATGATCGTATCCAAATACGCTGTAGACTTGTGAGTATCTAGTCGTCTAATCTAAAAAATTATAAGATGAAATTATTCTGTATTTATAATTTTATTTTGCAGAGAATAAAATACCTGTGTACACCTCGTCTTACTCAGCATCGTTGTTCTTTAACCAGTCCAAGTGAGTGACATTAAAAACTTAGACCAAAATATTTTTGGAATAATAAAATAAGATTTTTTACATAGGTTATAGATGAATAGTGTAGTATTGTTTGCAATAACTAGAGCATATGCTTCTACATAGAAAAACCTATGTACCATTTCATTTGACTGAAAAAACTCCTAATGAAATGTTAACCTCCAATAACTGTATGAAGTCAATTTCATCGTTGAAGTTGAGAATACCTAATGACTGAAGCCACACCACATTGAATAAGTCAACTATATGCTATTCAGGATGCGTTTTTGAAGCATTTTCATATATGATCAGTAGTTTTGTAATTTTTTCCGTCAGGACTTATAATCAGCTGAAAAACAAATAAAAGTCAAGCTGAACTACATCGTTTCTAAGTCCTAATTTCTGGATTCCATACAAGGAATCCTAATGAAAATTTAAAGATGAAAGATAAACGTGATTTTTTAAAAAATCTAGAATCGGAATACAGGGTTTCTAATTTTCAGAGGATTTAGTTTACTAGGTGCGATAGTTTATTCATTAAATTTTGACAAGCAGATTTGCAGACAACTAAGTAAATTACCAATCTCCTTGACAATATACTAAAATATAACGTGAGAATCAGAAAATTTATAGAATATTACGTATTCTACAGTACTCACCCATGTTTGTGACAAACGATGAAGTATGAGGAAGACATATTAGCCCGGTATGAAACAAATATCTCCTAAATATATAAAATGAAGTGTTTTTTCTAGATTACAAAGGCGATAATGAATATATAATAGTTTAGTTCACTCTGAAGAAGTAATTACTTACTTACTTATGCCTGTTAGTCCTCGTAAAGGAGTATAGGCCGACGACCGTCATTCTCCAACACACTCTGTCCTGGGCCTTCGTTTCTAGCTTCATCCAATTCTTGTTCATTCATCTCATGTCTATCTCCATTTCCCGACGTAATGTGTTCTTTGGTCTTTCCCTCCTCCTTTGACCTTGAGGAGTCCAAGTGAGGGCTTACCTTGTGACGCAGTTGTGTGCTTTCCTCAATGTGTGTCCTATCCACTTCCAGCGCTTCTTCCTGATTTCTTCCTCTGCTGAGATCTGGTTTGTTCTCTCCCACAGTAGGTTGTTGCTGATAGTGTCTGATCAACGGATCCGAAATATTTTGAGTAGACAACAGTTAATAAACACTTGCATGGCTTGGTGGCTTTCGTAGTTCTCCAAGTTTCCGCCCCAAACAATGGAACTGTTTTGACATTTGTGTTGAAAATTTGATGTTGTTTGACGGATAGTTGTTTTGAGTCCCAGATATCCTTCAGTCGTAAATATGTGCTCTTGATTTGCTGATCCACTCCTTCACATCTGCATCAGATCCGCAGTGCTCACCAATGATGCTGCCCAGATATGTGAAGGTTTTTACATCTTCCAAATCTTCTCCGTCATGTGTGATTTGATTGATACATATTATCTTGTGTTGGAAAATCTTGCTTTTCCCTTTGTGTACGTTTAGACCTACTGCTATTGAGGCTGCTGCTACACTTGTCGTCTTCTCCTGTATTTGTTGTTGCGCTTGCGAAGTCTAGATCGTCCAGCTGCATCCTAGATGTCTACTGTATCCCGTGCTTCCCTTCAGATGTTGATGTCTTCATGATCCAGTCGATTACCAGGAGAAAGAGAAATGGTGAGAGTAAGCAACCTTGCCTGACACCGGTCTTTACTTCGAACGACTTTGCTAACTGTTCTCCATGCACGATCCTGCAGTTTAATCCATCATAGGAATTCCGTATGATATTGACTATCTTCTGAGTCACACTGCAGTGTCGAAGAAGTTTCCATAGTGTTGTTCTGTCCACGCTGTCAAATGCTTCCTCGTAGCCAGTGAAGTTGATGTAGAGTGATGAATTCCATTCAATTGATTGTTCCACAATGATCCGTAGAGTTGCGATTTGGTCTATACACGATCGATCCTTACGGAATCCAGTCTGTTGGTCTCGAAGTTGGTCGTCTACGGAGTCCTTCATTTTGTTTGAAAATACCCTGTTGAAGACTGTTCCTGGTATTGAGAGAAGAGTGATGACCCTGTAGTTATCACAGTTAGTGAGATCTCCTTTCATTGTTATTTTGATCAGGTTTCCTTCTTTCCAGTCTGTCGGTACTTGTTCTTTATCCCAAATCTTGCTGAAGAGAATGTGGAGTATCTTTACAGTTACTGCTACATCTGCTTTCAATGCCTCTGCTGGAATGTTGTCTGGTCCTGCTGCTTTGCCACACTTGATTTGTCTGATGGCCATGCTAATCTCTTCAACTGTTGGTGGGCCAACATCGATTGGGAAGTCGGTGGGTGCTACTTTAATGTTGGGTGGGTTCAGTGGGGCTGGTCAATTCAAGAGTTCCTTGAAGTGCTCTACTCACCTGTTTTGCTGTTCTTCAATGCTAGTGATTACCTTGCCCTCCTTGCTTTTCACTGGTCGTTCTGGTTTACGATAATTTCCAGCGAGCTTCTTTGTTGTATCATACAATTGTCTCATGTTTCCTTCCCTTGCAGCCTTTTCCGCCGTCGTTGCCAAATCCTCCACATATTTACGTTTGTTGGTTCTGACACTCCTCTTCAACTACTTGTTTACTTTTGTGTATTCAGCTTGTGCCTTGGCTTTCTGTGCTCTTATTCGGCTGGTATTGATTGCTGCTTTCTTGTTCCTCCTTTCTTGAATCTTATCCAGTATATCAACAGTGATCCACGCCTTGCAGTGGTGCTTCTTGTGGCCTAGGACATCGTGACATGTTGAAGTGATTGCCTCTTTTATTCCCTTCCAGTTGCTTCCCATAGTAGTTCCCTCTTCACTGAGTAGATCATTAAATGCCTGGAATCCATTGCCGAGTACTATCTTGAATTTGTTGAGTTTGTCAATATCCCGAAGTAAGGCCGTATTAAACTTTTGTGATACTGTCCGCCCCGTTGTCCAGTGCTTCTTGAGTTTCAATTTCATCTTGGCGACCAACAAGTGATGATCTGATGTTATATCAGCTCCTCTCTTGGTTCGCACGTCTCCTATCGTCCTCCTGAACTTTTTGTTGATGCAGATATGGTCGATTTGGTTTTGTGTAGTGTGATCCGGTGAAGTTCATGTGGTTTTGTGTATGCGTTTATGTTAGAATATAGTGCCGCCTATGACCAGTTTATTGAAGGCACATAGGTTTGCAAATCTCTCACCAATTTATTTCCTTTCTCCCAGTCCGTGTCATCCGATGATGTCTTCATATCCATTGTTGTCCTTTCCAACCCTGGCATTTAGGTCTTCCATCAGAACGGCCAAATTCTTTTTTGGGCACTTCTCGACGATTGACTGCAGCCTACCGTAGAATTGGTCTTTCACGTTTTCATTGTAGTCGTTGGTAGGCGCATAGCACTGGATAACGTTCATTGTAATGTCCTCATTCTTTGTTTTGAAGGAGGCTTTGATGATCCTGGGTCCATGAGATTCTCATCCTATAAATGCATTTTGTGCTTGTTTAGACAGCATCAATGCAACTCCTTGTGTATATGGAGCATTTTCTTCTTCATGGCCAGAGTATAACAGAAGCTTCCGTGAAGCTAGTCGTTGTTGTCCAACTTGCGTCCAATGTGTTTCACTGATCCCAAGCACATCTAGGTTGTATCTTCTCATTTCTGCAGCAATTTGGAAGACTCTCCCAGTCTCCCACATTGTATGAGCATTCCATGTACCTATATAAATGGTTACTCCAGTTGTCAGAAGGGGCATCGGTCTCGTGACTTCCGAAGTAACTCGGTTTTCACCATGAGGCGTAATAACTCTTCGAAATGAAGACCTGATTCCCAGGGCAGATTTTAAAAGGTTTGTATAATTTTTTCTGGCTAGCGTTTTTTTAGTGAGTTAATTTTCTACGGGATGGGATCGCTAACCCTATGCCCAACCATCCTCTTTTAACCGTGGTTGGGACCGGCAGTAGCCCCCAGAGGGACTCCAGGTGGAGTTACTGTGAAGAAGTGACCTACATTAAATCACGAAACGTCAAAAATACAATTTTTTACTGACTAGGATACAACAAAAAAATATATTTATTATCCGATGCTCAATTTATTTGAAACTATCAAGTCCATCTTTTGCACTGATGCCTATAAATCATATAGATGGTTTTTCTCAACAAATTTTAAAACTGTGGATAATAGTAACGAATATATTTTCTAAAATATTCGAATGATTAGCTTAGTCATAGATCTCCGAAATCTGTGTGCATATTATCAATAACTTGATATAAGCCATATAAATGGGTAATAATAATAATAATAATAATAATAATAATAATAATAAATCAAAGAGGAATGTGGCTTTTACTAGTATCCGTTATTATACAACATACTTAAACTTATATCCATCTACTGTATCTAATTATTGAAGATATTTCTTTGTATGTGATTCTTTCCAAATTGCACATAAAGTCCTGATTCAATTCTCACAGTGAAAGAATATAACGAATGTTTCAGTCATAAGTAGATATTCAAGCTATTTGTTATACATTTATTTATGAATAAACATTGATAATTGTAGCTAGCCTACAGTTTAAACATTCTACTATTTATCGTCATAGTTACCTACGTATATATTTTTTTTCAAGAATGTTATACCATGATAACCTGTTGTGTAAGTGTGTATTATTTCACGTTTAAGAAGATTTAGATTTTTTTTTTTAGTTATTTGTTTTAATGTTAACTGTGACCATGAATTAGTCTGCGTTTCTACTTTTTTTTTCTTTTCTTTTTTTAAAAAAAAATCAATTACAAACACAGATTATCACTTTAATTAATGCAATTAATGTCACAATTAATATAAATCATTGAATTTTGATTAATTAGTCAAGAAATATAATGCCTGCTACTAAAAATAAAGATCAATCGTTTACAGGTTCGTAGGTGTAGATTAGTAAGAAAACTCGGGAAAAAAAAATTGTTGTTGGGTGCTACTTTGTCTTTTTTAATTTGATTTCTAGATCATATAAGCCTGTGGTTGAAACTACTCTCAGGTTTAGCTTAATTTATGACTTGAGTGAAAATCCACATTAGATTAATTGTGTAGTACATGTGACTTTATAAGTTATAATAAGATAAATTTTACTCTTTGACGAAAAAAATAAATAAGGTTCATTTGATAAGAAGCGACTAGAGGAGTTCAACCATGTCAGGAGTAAGGTAAATGTCCATCGCAGGAAACCAATAAGGGCTACACAACATCAGGTGTGATTGAAGTTAGATAGTAACGCGGTTGGATGTCGGCTCAATGGTCTAAATGCTAAGCGCTGGTGCAAATGCAAGGTCATGGATGCCCATTACTGAGGAGTCCCATATTAGGATACCTAGGCTTCCAGGTTTTAGTGGTGGTCTAAATGAGATCAGTTCTTGATTTAAAAGATAAATATATGTTTGTTTAAAAGTGATCTGTGATTTATTCGTTAATTACTCTTATCTTATACTCTATTAACCTACTCTATCAATTTGATTCAGCTTTAATTGACCCCGAAAATTCGGAGATTCCAGAAAATAATCCCAATGATCATTATGAAGTGAATTCGTGTACAACAGAAGAGCAAAACATTGAAGAGGACAATTCAGGGAAAACAAAGAAAAAATTCAAAGTTAGAAATTTCTGTAGATCGTGTATTCGATAGGAAATAAAGATGTTTTTTAGCAGAAATAATAATAATGAATAATAATAATAATAACAGATGAAGAAATTCGCATTCAATATGATTTACAATCTTTTCAGATTTTTCAATTTATGTATATGTCATCATTGATTTTCCTGTTATTTTTAATGAAAAACAATCCTAATTGCATATACATACTGTATCTAAGTGTGTTTATGTATACACCATAATATGTGCATTCCTTAATAATCATGATTAATGTTCACTTTCTTCACCCTTTACTATTGTGCATCAAAGGTATTTTCTTATGCTCTTCTCAATTGAAGTTTATTTCACAGGTTGAAATCATGAGTCAGTTGAAACTAGACCACCATTAAAAACCTGGAAGCACTGGATGGCCGTTTCGTCCAGTGCTTCCAGGTTTTTAATGGTGGTCTAGTTTCAACTGACTCATGATTTCAACCTGTGAAATTTACTAAAATCTCCACAAAGCTCATTCTGAAGTTTATATGCCAAGATAAATATTCATTCATATTAAGATAGAAAAATGTAGAAGTTTGAAGTGAATACAATCACCTGAAAAAAAAAACACATGAAAGTTAAGGAAATCATTTGATCAATTAATAATAAATTATTTTTGTTGTCTTTCTATTACAATTCCACTTTCTATCTCCCTTCCTCTATGTATCTCTGTTATTTCTTCTTAACTCCTTCCCTCTTTCCCCCCCCCTCTCTCTCTCTATTTTTAATACAATTCATGAATTCATATGGGGAAAAATGAATCATAAAATGAAATTAGCACTCTTATGTAATTGTAATATTGATTCATTATTTTAATCCTCGTGTTTTGTACGTTATTATGTAATAGTTTTTTTGTTTGTTTGTAATTTTCATCTTAATTATTTCAGACTAATATTTCTTCTTTTCTAATAGATATTTGCCATGTTTTTCTTTTCCATGATTTTTTTTTCTCCTTATAATTATTTTACTCATCAAAATTAGTTTAATTACATAAATACATATTCTCTCTTTGTAGTTAGTGACTAACTCAACAATTTCATATCATTATCTCATAATCACTAGCGTTTTATGTAATTACATTATTGAAGAAACAAAATGACCTACACAATAAAACAGATGTTCATTTATCAATGTTTCTTTATAATTTTTCAATTGAAGTTAATGTCATATAAATGTAAATTATGTAATTTAAAGTTAAATCTGAAATAGGATCGTCATTCATTGATCATATTCATTTCAAGTTCAAATCTATTCAATACTAAATTGGGATTCAAATGTTTTGTGATCATTTCGACGTTTAGATGTGTTAGATCTAAACTCATATAGTGTAGTAGATTATGGTTCACAAACTTAAAATGAGAGTAATGTTAATTTCTATCCCGTTTATGAACTATTCTATGAGTGATGTTGAATTTTCATAAAAATTATTTACAAAATCTACTAATGATCCTGTCAAGATCACAGGTTATCAAATCTTTGTTAGTAAATGTTAATTCTTCCATAAAAAAGATAACTTTGATAAAAATTTTCCTAATTTTTGCGCGACCTTGGCGTTTTCTGTTTAGTTGATAACAATTTCGGCTTGCCAATTGTTTGTTCCTTAAAGTCATATCTTGTTGGTGGATAGTTTTTTTCCATTTTACTTCGACTTATAAAATGTCACTTTTTCTCGCACTCGTATCTTCTTCCTAGGTTCCATCGTATTAGGAATAATGGTTTCAATGTTGTGTGTTTCAGTAATGTTACTATTGAGTTCGCATTAGTTGCTATTTTTATTGAAAGAGATCTCAGTCGTGCCTCGTCAGTAAACGCCGGAGATCTAATCTGAACAGAAATATAGCAGAATCCTAAAATATTAGAACTAAACTACTCCTTCATATTTAAAATGTCTAAACTAACAAACAACATGGATGAATTGAAGATACTTATCAATAATTCTTGACAGACAAGTAAGAGTGATCGATTAACCAGAGATTGATGTTGACTCTGATATATATATATATATATATATATATATATATATATATATATATATATATATATATATATATATATATATATATATATATATATATATATATATATATATATATATGGTTAGTAACACGTTTTGTCCCATTCTCTTTGGGTGAGAAGCTAAGTCATAAGTGTATTGTTTCACAACAAAAGATGTTCAAAATAAAAAAATCAATATTTATAAGTTACGCGCAATTGTATGATGCAGTTGAAACACAATAATTAACAATATCAGGTGATTAGAGTGAAATAAGTACTAAATTTGCTTTCTAACAGAAATAAGTTTTTAATTTCCTGCTATTCATTAAAAGTTATGTAACTTATAGAATATATATTTATTCTACAAAATAGACTGATCATTAACTGTCTCATTAAAACTATTCGTATTGAATACTCTTATCTATATAATGCAAGTTATATCTCTGTAACAAATAATTTATAAGTAGGAAATAGTTTTTTCCAGTTATGAAATTATATTATTAATGGGGGCTGGTGGTGTAATCTAGGACGCGTGTTTCGTCCTATTTGTAACTTGTTCGCTGGATATACCTGCATTCGTTTTGATGTTAATATAGTGAAAATTCCCATTTTGCCATTTGGTAAATAAAGAAGCAACGAATTGAGCGAAGAAATTTCTTTTCAATTAGTTTTTCATCATGGCTCTACACTAATATATATACGTTTTATATTGAAACGTTCTGAGCAAACATTTGCGTTAAAGGTTCTCAATGAGTATCTGAAGTATAGCGCAAGGCTCAGTGAGGCGATGACAAATGTTGATTTTATAAAGGAATGCATAGAAACAAACTTGTACCCAAAGTTGTATTTGAAATTTTTACGTCGCTCTCGAGTTCGACCAAATGGAAGGACCCTCAAACGCTACGTTCTTAACCAAATCGATTCTCTAAACTCATACATTGCGGAGATGGTAAAAAATATCAACGAGAGAATTTATGCTGTAGATGATCTCCCTGATAAATTAAGAGATCAGTATCTGGACTATGTGGAGATGGTGGTTAACTCAAGAAAGGAAAAGAAAAGAATGAAACTTAAGAAAAATCTAGACAAACAGATCCCAGAAATGAAATTTCCATCCAATCCAGGTCAGTACGTACACAATTTCTCTAGTGTTATACTGGATAAAACTGAGTTAGAAGCGTTATCATTAGGCCCTAAGTTTTGTGACTTCAAGAAAACAGTAAATAAAATGGACGTTGAGATTCAATTCGAAAATCTTTATGCTCAAACGGCAGAACTAGTAACTTCATCAAAAGATAATGTCGAAAGATTTAAATCAACACTAGTCGACTGTTGTTTTAAATATTTAAATCATAGACACAACACGAAAGGGATTTTGACGAAAAAACATACAGAAGCTTTAAGGAAACTTAAAACTAATGACAGTTTATTAATCATGAAACCGGACAAAGGATATGGAATAGTACTCATGGATAAAAATGACTACATAAACAAAATGAAAGCCCTTTTAAATGATAAAAGCAAATTTCAGAAACTGGCTGTGAAGAACGACATCGCAGATAAGATTGAAAAGCAATTAACAGATTCACTGAAAGAAATTAAACAACAAGGTTTTATTTCAGAAAAGATGTTCGAAATGTTGAAACCTACAGGAACGATGACACCAAGACTATATAGCCTACCAAAAATACACAAAAGTGGCTTACCCCTTCGACCAGTTTTAGATATGAATAACTCAGCGTATCATACAAAATGGTTGGTGCAAATTCTTAAACCATTACACAAAGAAATTGTCAAGCATAGTGTCAAGGATTCCTTTGAATTTGTTGAGAACATAAAAAATCTATCAGTCAAGAATAATTTCATGTTATCACTTGATGTATCATCTTTATTCACTAACATTCCACTACAAGAAACAGTTTATTTTATTTGCAATGAACTAACAGAGAGACGCATAGAAACCCCGATTCCAGCATCCGCGATAAAACAGTTAATTCTCAGATGCACAATGAATGCACAATTCAGATTTGACAATGAATACTATAGACAGCTAGACGGAGTTGCCATGGGATCACCATTGGGCCCTCTACTGGCTGATATTTTCCTTGCAAAACTGGAAAACGGACCACATAAAAACATAATTAGCCATTTACCAACTTATTATCGCTATATAGACGACACCTTCATAGTACTAGAAAAAGAGAATGATAAGGACAATTTACTTAATACATTTCATAACGTTCATCCATCAATTAATTTTACATCAGAAGACGAACAGAACGACAGCATATCATTTCTAGATGTCCAACTAAAAAGAAGAGCAGACGGAACTTTAAGAAGAGGGGTACACAGAAAATCTGCAGCAGGACAATACACTCATTTCTATAGTGCAGTTCCAATCAGATACAAAAGGAACTTGATAAAAATCTTGACACATCGGGCTAGAATGATTTGCTCTGAAGACACCATCGAAGAAGAATTGAATAATATTCGGAACCTACTTAGTATGAATGGATATCCCATGAAATTCATCGACAAACATATGATGGAGAAGAAAACAAGGACAAAGATACCCACCGTCCATAAGAAGGTACTATTCATAAAACTACAATTCATAAATGACACCATTGAAGAAACCTTGACTCAGAAACTAAGAAGAGCCGTACAAAAAACATTTAATGCTGCCAGATTAAATGCAATGTTCTACAACTATCCCAAGATAAGAACAGCCAACAAAGACAGACTGCCTGAATCCGCCAAATCTATGTGTATCTATCGTTTCAACTGCTCTTGTGGAGCCAGTCATACTGGGCGTACAATTCGGCAAGTCCGTCATCGCATTACTGAACATCATCCGTCGTGGTTAAACAAAGGACAGGTAAAAGTGATTAAAAGTTCTATTCTCTCTCACTTGGTTGACACAGGTCATCAAGTCGAATTGAATAAAGCTTTTAAGGTTATCTACAATATCCCATCTAATTTGCCACATGGTTTACGAGTGCGCC